TCCCTGTCGAACACCACTCCCAGGAGTTTGGCTGTGGGGGACGGTTGGATGGTGGACCCGTTCATCACGAGCTGTCCCTTTTCGTGTTCACTCTTCTTCCGCGTGATGTGGATCAGTTCGGTCTTCTCTACCGCGAAGCAGGACCCGGTGCGTCTGGCCCACTCTTCGATCCGTGGGATGTCTTCCTCTTGGATCTTCTTGATATTCTCCTCCGCTGACCGTCCGGCTCGCCACCGGAAGTAGTCGTCAATGTACGCTGACGCGCCTCCGTGGTAGTCGACCGGCTGGTCCACCAGTTCCGAGTTGAAGAATGTAAAGAGAATCGGGGAGAGCGGAGACCCTTGTGCCAGGCCCGCGTTTTCCAGCGGTGCCACCGTCGACTCAAAGTCATCGAAGGAGATGTTCGCTTGACGGTCTTCCATGAAGCTCCGGATCCATTTCCTGGCTGTGGTGGGGATCCCTTTCGTCTTGAGCTGCGCGTCCAGGCTTCCCTTGTTCACTCCGTTGAAAGCTCCTTTCAGGTCAAATGCCACCAGGGTGACCACCTTCATTTTCAACCATGCTCGGTCTATCGCGTTGGCCAGCACAAGCAGCGCCTGTTCGGTTGTCCGGCCGGGTCGGCCTCCGAACTGTGTGTCTGGGAGTAGGCCATGTGTTTCTGCATAGTAGGTGAGCCGCCTGGCCACTACTGCTTCGAGGAGCTTTCCAAGCGTGTTCAGAAGCGAGATGGGTCGGTATGCTCCCGGGACCGAATAGTCCGATTTGCCGGGTTTGCGCAGCACCACGATCCTCGCGCGTTTCCACTGTTGAGGGTAGTGGCCCAGTTCGATCGAGGCAAGGAAGATGCGGGTGATCACCTTGCTGATGTAGTGCCAGAGGTGTTTCCACACCAGGGTCGGAATCCCGTCCTCCCCCGGTGCGGTAGTGCCTTTTGCAGCTTTGAGGGCCCTGTGAATCTCCAGCTCCGTGACGGGTTCCCATGGGATCTCCTCTCTCTCAGGCGTGATCGTTCCCTCGTCGGGTTCTGCCATCTCCGGAAAGAAGGTCTTCATGAAGAGCCTTGCCTTGTCCTCGTTGTCCGCAACTTCCTCAGTTCCCACCCTCAGAGGTGGGACTTTGCCGTACGATTCCGGGGGACCCATGTAAGATGCGGCTTTCCACAGGTGTCCTTCGCCAGCGCTGTCTAGAAACTCTTTCCAGTGCGTTGCTTTTGCTTTCTCTATCGCTCTGGTCCATGCTCGGCGTTTCTCACGCATCTCCGCGAAGAGGATCGCGGTCTGAGGATCTCGGGAGCCTTTGGCGGCACAGCTTTCTTGCCATCTGCGTCGGGCTCGGTTCGCCTCGCCTTGTTGTGTCTTCAGCTCCGGTGTGAACCATCGTTTCGAGTAAGGCGATGGCTTCGCTGTTGGAACGTGTCGATCGATGGCATCTTTAGTAGATGTGACCAGCATCTCGACAGCCTGTTCAAGCTCCTCCCTTGATCCCATCTCAGGTAGCGGATCTAGTGCCGCCTGCACTGCCTGTCCGATTTTCTCACAGTTGGCGCGTTCATATGCTCTTCTGGGCTTGGCATCGGCCGCACGGTCTGGCCGGAGCGACCATTCCGAGTACGTCGCGCGGTGGTCCGATCCATAGTTGTCGTGGTACAGGTGGCACTTGATCAGTCTCTCACGGGAGTCGGTCACCGTAAGGTCGATGGTGGACGTCTTCCCTGGCCGGCTTAAAGACCAGTAGGTCGGTGCTCCCCGGGGGAGGCACCATTGGAGTCTGTTTGCCTGGAAGAAGCTGACCAGTTCCTCTGCGTGTTCTATGAAAGCGTGGTAAACCTCTCTATTGCTCCAGGCTGGGTGGTGTCGATTGAAGTCTCCCGCGAGGATGAGCACCGTTGGTTTATCGGAGCTCTCTCTTGCCTGCCGGATGGTCGACTGGATCTCGTCCAACATTGGCTGTATGGAGACCTCCTCGGCGGATTGATAGAGTCCGAACGGCGGAATGTACACCGAGAAGAGCAGGATCTGGGTGGCGGTAGTCCACATTCTGACGGCTGTGACGTCTGGGTGATTGCATTTCATTTGGCGGTGCACAGACGTGGAGATCCTCCTATTGACATACAATAAGCTTCGTTTCCGCGTGTTCTCCTCTTGGATGGTTGGTTGGTAGAGGCGCCAGGCGCTGTGGTTGACGTGCGTCTTGTACGCCGTAAGTGGCGGTTCTTGGACGAGCAAAACATCAAGATTCCATGTTTCCGTGTCATTGATCAGCGCCTCCATGCCCGCTCTCGATCTGTAGATGTTCAGTTGCAGTAAACGAAGGTTTGGTTCTGTCATTGCATGTGGGGTGGTTCTGCAGGGTTCTGGCAGTTTTTGTCTCCTGTTGGGTGGTCTCCGTTACAGTCCAAGCACTTCGGCCTCACACCCGGGGGACAATTTTGTCTCTCGTGGGTGCCCGCACAGTGTCCGCACCTTGCCTTTTCTTTGCATGACCACGCTAGATGGCCGAAACCCTGACATCGGTGGCACCTCTTCCTCTTGACCTGATAGGGCTCGACGCTGCCGATGTATCGTTGTCCAACGATGAGGCCGTTGTTGACCATCCACTCCGCTGCCTCCGGCGAGTCGAACCAGATCCCCAGCGAGCCGTGGGTGCCTGGCAGTTTGTCCCTCCGTCGGAGCCATGCGATCTCTGTGATCCGATGGCCTTTGCCTGTCAAATCGTTGTCTTCCGCGATTTTGGCGATACTTTCCTTCTCCTCCTCCGGCAGTCTGAAGGTATTTGTCGGCGTTCTGTGCACCACGACCCCGAATCTCGGCTTGACGAGTTTGGTGTCGTTGCCTAGCTCATCGAGCCAGTCGGAGTTGGACCGCGCTGCATCCGCGGACCGTTGGTCTTTGAATCTGATCACATATCCAGTTTTCGCTGTTCCGATGCCTGCAACCTGTGCATCTTTGGTGGCGTTGGCGCTGAGGAGCGCAGATCTGATGTATGTGTTGGCGCTGTCCGTGGGAAGATACCTTCCGAAGCTGTTGATGTCATCAGTTCCGTCTTCCGGTGCACGACGCGTGCTGATCCGGACGCAGTTTGGTTCTTTTCTGGCCTGGGTGCTCCTGGGTTGCTGGACAGCGCGACTGGGTTCCGGGTTGCCCGCACTCGCTGCGACTTCTGCCCAGGTTCTAGCTGGTGGATTCGAGGATAGGGCCTCGATTTGTGCCCTAAGGGCATGGATTTCTTCTTGAAGGCTCGAGTTTTGGCTCTTCAACGCCTCTTGCTCAACCTTGAGCTCTAGAATGCCCGCTTTGGTGGCTTCGATAATGTTGGTCTGGTGGCCTATTATATTTTTCAGGTCGTCGATGAGCCTTCTGATCTCCTGGTTTGTGACCCTCCCGCTGCCGTCTCCAGCGGCCACGGGTTCGGGGTTTGAGTTCGGTGCGTTCGTAGCATAAGAGTTATTCCTCCGGCGTTTCTCTCGTCTCGCAGGCTGGCTGGATTGGGTTATTGGTTGAGAGTTTTCGAATGAAAAGATTGAGGTTGTTGTTCCTTGCGTGTTTGGTGGTTCACGATCTCCCGTCGGTTCCGCCATCGGGCCGACGTTAGCTCCCGCTCGGCACACCACACCAACTTCCCAACACCAGTTTCCTCGTCAAAATAGAGTATTTTCCACGCAAAACCAGCAACAATCTCTGAAGTCGCCTGCTCCGTTTTCGATATATGGTTTGGTACAGTTCGTTTGGTACAGTTGGTCGATTACAGCCCAGATAATACAGTTGATTCCAATCTGTATATACAGACGCGCCCGGAATCTCCTTCCATATCATACATGTAGAGAACATTTCCCAAACCCTAATCATGTGAGTTGTCTAAGTCATATGTGGTTAATACTCCACGTGAGTGGACGTTTGATAAAAGCCTACTGGCCCATGGGAGGGGAGAGTAACCAAATATAGATTAGCAGGCCTTGGCATTAGGGTTTAAGAAACAATCTATGTATGTATGACATGGAAGGAGATTTCGGGCGCGACTGTATATACACCGTACATGCATGGATATACTGATATGACTATAGGGCTCTTGTGCCGTACGACTGTCGTATCGCCCGGATGACGGACGTGTCCGGTATCCTCAGAATCGGTGGCCAGGAGCTTGCTCCATTCGTCCATAATGACTTGGGCCGTACGGTATTGTCCCTTCCGGGACTCCATATAAGCTATGTCCCTGGTAGCATAGACTTACGGCAAATACTATCGCATCGGCCCTCGTACATCAATGCCCTGCTGATTCAATCCAGAGGGAGGTCTGGGAGGCATGCCTGTACCAGCTGCCAGGGGCGTACAGGCCTCAGGCCTTTCACAAAGTGCGTCCGGCTCCCCGGCCACTTTGGCGAAGCTTGTGGTAATTGCAAGTGGCGCGACCGCGCTACCCACTGCTCCGTACGGCACGAACAGCAGCTGGCACGGACGGAGGTAATAGCCCTGGACGATGGCTCTGAGGACGACAGCCGGGTCATCGACCTGACGGGGGATCGGCCGGTACGGCGGCCAAGGGCCAGAAGAAATAATGGTGGAGATGGGTCTTCGGCCAGTACGGCCATTGTGCTTCTTTAATGTAAGGATATATTCTTTTATTGGACTTGATGACTGCGTTCCATTTGGATTTGGGGTTTTTGCCCTATGCACCCATGCCAGCCGTACGGGCCCTGTGTACGGCACCCTGGGCATGGCCTGCACCTCTCCGTGGTGCCTGGGATGAGTAGTTGAAGCTCAACGTACATGCAGTTTGTATGCTGCATGTTGTACGCACGAAGAGCTCAATGAAACCAAGCAGGCCGGCCTTACATAACGAATTCATGTTGATTGATTGGATGAGTTCGCCCGTACTAAAATTAACCTGAGGTAAAACATGCTACTCGCCAAGCACCCAAATAACCTGTAGTTATACGAGGGGTGGCGTACTAGAAGTGACATCGCGTTGATGGAAGGTTCCTCAGGTAGTTATGTACATCCTTTTTATGGAGCCAAAACATTTGCGTTCTTAATCATATCAAAAACCTGCCTCATAGCTGCCTCATTGACCTTAGGGTCCATATAATCAGACGCCAGCGGTGTTAATACTTGATTGGCCCTCGTCACCTTGTACGCCATCATACGCGTACCCACAACCCGAAGAGCAAATATCTTCATTTGACCCTTTGCCTGACCAGTTTCGAGAGCATTTATTGCGTAGCCTAATACCTGTTCGTCTGTGTAGGAGTCCTGCGACATAGTTTGATGTTGGGGTTTTGCTTCGACGACAATAACCTCGATGAATGCACTATTTGACCAGAATCTCTCAATAACAAAGTCTGGTCTCGCACCGCTTGTCTGGCGTTTTTGAGGAGTTACAATCCAATTATCACCGCCAAAGTTGTTGTTGAGGAGACGGTCCCATAGCCCGGTCGTAGAATCCTCGTTTGGGTCTTGCAATGCTCGGTCGTACTGGACTGCGAGCGCAATTGTGTTAATTAAGCCTCCCTGTGACGGCATAGCTGCTACGAACATTAGCTATACTTAGCAACAGGCATAACAGTAGATTTAAGGCTGACTTACCAAACAAGCAGCAAAAGATACGTGGGACAACGGTTTAGGGAAGTGGTATACGGAGTAGTTAAGGACCAGTAAAGAATAAAATTAAAGAGAAACTGAACCTCGAGCGTGTTGATGTTTTTACCTTGGGACGTAGGGAGGAATCGGCCTTTTATGCTCGTTTTTGGACCGTGGGGATTTACAAAAAAAAAGAATGTAGAGTCTACTGGAAGGTCTGCCTGTAGTTTACACGCATTACTATATTGCATGCGTAAAGCCCGTGTCATCTTTAAGTCGTTTGGTCTCGCGCGGCTTGGAGCAGCAACAGCTGAATGAATATCAGCCCATACCCTATTGATCCAATTGCAGCCACGACGGTGGAGTCAGGCCACCATTGAGTTTTCGTGTATGCAGAATCTAGGATTTCGTCATAGCCAATCGCCGTTCTATGCCGAAGTTGGTGATAAATACCAGCCAGAGCTCGGTTTCGGCACTATTTTTGTCAAAGAGATACACTGCCCATCCCTGCCACACCCCTGCCACACCCCTGCCTATCAGGGGAGATACAATATCTAAAGCGTTGAATACCCTAGTTGTGGCGTAGACCCGCAAGACACCTCTTTACAGAAATTACCCCTGATGTGTACGAGAATAGACATATCACAACAACCACACCACACCTAGCTTCCGAATAACCCGCCTGATCTATACATAATAGGAAATTTCGAGTAGAAGACACACCCTCCTCTCATGTTGGAGGATTACATAACTTCCACTTAAGCTGTTGCATTATATAGGATAATTCTCCAGGCCATAAGCTCCGGCTCTGTGCCATGCGAGTACAACGGCTGGAGAATCGTTCTCGCAAACGTAGCGAGTCCCCTTAGGATCCTTGCTCTTTGCGCATAGAAAAAGTCAGGGGTTCATTCCTTTGCTGCTGCTGCAGCTTCTTCGCCCGACCCTCCTCATAAACAACTAGATGTCCAGCGGCCCAGGGATGCAAACCATGGTAGCGCGACCGAATGTCCATGCATCTACGGAGTAGCCACGATACATATACTTATGATAGGACTTTCTAGAAAGAAAATGAGAGTGGGGGCCAGCGGGCATTTTAGCTCCGCCTTGTTAGCTGCGGCTCATGCATCTTTTATCATCCCGAAATAAGAAGTAATTCTAATCTGTGTGGTAGCGGTAAAGACAGTGGTGACAGAAGCGGATGTGGCTAACGTTTACTGGCTCGGGCCCTAGAAATCAATCCTTCATGGAGAATCGCACAATCGAATGGATCAAGGCCGCCCGTGAGATATACCCCTTCGGGGGCATTTGACCCAGTTTGGCAGCCGACCTCCCACGTCCCTCCACTCCGTGATACTCCTCCCATCCTTAAAGTGATCGCTGACATGCTCGCGTCTCTTGATTATCGCGCCAAAGCCATTCGCCGCCGTAGGATAGGCCATTTTACAGAAACCACACCAAAATCGATGCTGATAATCACCTCCAATGCAGTATGTAATATTTAGAGTAGAAGTTGAATAGAAATATTACATGCGAACCAATTTCTGACGCTTCCTGCTCACATCTTGACTAGCGCTTGCTCTTTATTTTTGGCCGGGTCAGAGCACACGAGCCTGCTCTCAAGGTGCGAGCCGACCACTTTCTCTTCGGCGTATAATGGTGAGACTAGTTCGGTACCCTGGTCCTCCCCCAAGTAATCGTTCGTATTTTCCAACAGTTGGCCGTCAGGGATCGACGGGGTGCACAAATTGACTAGGGTAGGAGTCTCGGAGCGCTTTTGGTCGATATACCGAAGATCATTCTCTAAAAGCTGAGTCCGCCATCGGATTTTTCCTCGTAGAGAATCTAGCTCGTCGTATACGTCAAGCCAAAGGTAGTTGTCCAGAGTCTGGTGGGCCTTCCAATGTGACTCCTTGATACCGTCCAATCTTCCCTTTTGGGCCGTGACCGCATGTTGATGAAACATTAACGTTCGTAATATCTTGGGATTCCGGTCGTTTTTGAGCTTCCCACGATTCACTATCCCATCTAAGTCAACACCTAGACTAACCAGAGAAAACGTTGAAAATTCTTCGCCCTGATATAAGGCGTCTAGCTTCTTTTCAAACTGGACAAGGTCCCCTTTCATAGATTCAAGGAACTCCCTTCTGACTCTCTTATGCAATGTACGGCGCTTCTCAAGGGCTCCGTACAACTCGTTTTGCACTGCAAGTTGTTTATATTCAATATAGGCTCCGCATTCGTTAAAACCAGCGTCAGCGGCGGCATCAAGGAAGTCGTCTTCGTTGTCGCAGATGAAGCAATCGTTCACGGGGAGAGCGTTGGGAACACGCGGCTCCAATGGGTACGCCAAAAGCCAATAGCTATCTCCTCGAAATTTATGCCAGGCTGTGGTCTCACGGAGCCTTCTATCCACGTTAAGGGTCGCGGACACGTCTAATTTCGGCAGCTGGACGTAGTAAATTTTGCAACAAGTTGTCATTGTTATATAAACGCACGCGCACCCAGACGAGAAGACAATTCAGAATTGCCTATTCTTAAGAAGGTATGAGATTTCTTAAGGGTATAGTAGCTCTTTATAGCAGTGCCACAGTGCCACTGAAAACTACCGACTCGAGGGATGCGGCATGATCTGCAGGGATTACTATGCACTTGGGAGTATCGCAGCGTCTCAAGGCCGTGGGTATACTAGCCATTTCCCTTACATAATATAGGTCGTTATAGCTTGATTTAATCTCCTTTGAGTATATAAGTTCTTCTAACGTTGGATCGTTAACGTGCTCTAATTTATGGATGTTGACTGGCTGTCTGCTTAGGCTAAAGTAGTTATATATATAACTAAGAGCTTTGTTGCTGAGATAACGAAGAAATCGACGAAACAAAAGCAGAAAACTGTTAAAGAGCGCTTGGCAACATTTCGTGCAATCCTGCCAAGCGCTCTTCGAGCCCCTTAGGGGCTGAGGCGACATGGGGCTATAAAACCTTTTCTTGGCCTCAGACCTTGCATATGTAGATAAAATCACGTCCCCTTGCATCGAAAACGAAACGCCTGCGAGGCAAGCGGGTAAATCGTTCACACAAGCACCTCCTGCTTCAAGCCACCCCCTGTTTAGGGTCTTCTGATCCATCGTGGATAACTTGACATGAATCTTCGTGTAGAGCATTGAGTGGCCCCGTTACGTCATTGCGGAGTGAACCTGTCAGCACGTGACACACGACTGATTACCACGTGGTAGTTTGCCTCGTTTTAGCCCATCTTTCCCATTTGGCTTTTCAAATGAATCAACGACCCACGCAACGACCAAGGCACACGGCACCCGAGAGGCCTTCATATCCGTATTTGTCCGCTATATAGCGTCGCGATCCACAAACAGCGTTGCAATCCACAAACAGCGTTGCGATCCACAAACAACGTCGCGATCCACAAACAGCGTCGCGATCCACAAACAGCGTTGCGATCCGTATAGCCTATATATTTATTATATAAGTACGGAGTACTCCACTGTAGGAGTTTGGTTTATGCCTCGCAAGACAGTTTTTTGTATCCGTGTACTCCGTACGCGCTATACTTATGCATTTCTTCTTTATCCTAGTTTCCCTACTTGGGACGGCTCTCTGTAGCGCCAAGCTGGACTCGCCGGCCATCGGTTTAAACACAAAAGCGCTGTCGAACTCTCAACAGTGCAATAATCTTACTACAAATCGATATGTTGCCAGAAATAGTGCAAAAAATATTATTGAAACAGAGTTTTGCAATCTTGCTGTGCAGGTTCCGACACTCTTCCCAAACCGCACATGGGTCTCACGGTTGTATAATCAAGACTCGCCAGAAGAGATGATACTTACTATGGACTGGAGCCAAAGCCCAAATACCAAGCTGGAAGCTTTGACATGTATAAAGCTTTTAAGGGATAAGCTTCTTGATGGCTGTGATAGCGACGACGTGATGAACCCTATGAAGTGGAGAGGTGGAGGAACTCTTTGGGAAGATGGAGTTATGTTTCAACTTTCCCCAAATACAGTGCGGCCGCCGTTCCCTCAGAAACCGATTAGTAAATGTGAAGTTACGCCTTATGAAAAATATTATCATGTCACGATCTATATGGGTGGCTCGGAGCCATTTGAATGGCAAAATTTATTAATAGGCTGTTCTCCTTATCTTCCCGACACCTTATACCGTAGCTACGACAAGCGAGTTAAACCTTTTGAATATCGCTACACCGCATACTTAATGAGCTGGAATGCTACTTGTGTAGCTAAAGCAATCAAGGAGATAGTTGGCGCCGACGTGATATGTATGACTAGTTAAGTAAACTCGCGGGGCTACCTATATATCTCGGCATTATGATTGAAACCCCAGAACGGCCCCGGGCTAGAAAGGAAATTTATTGTACCTGGTGTTGGATCGGCCTCAATGCTTTATAAGATCCTATATATATTTAGAACTTAGTTATATAGTCTGTTGCAAAATTAGCTTGACGCTTCCGACATTCATTGCTCTTTGTTGGAAACAATCCCCGCTCGCGAATCGTAACTACTATATCCAAAATTGGCAATGCGATATCGGACTAAGGTTACTAAACATCTTTAGTCAGAATACTAGGCTGATATTGGATCTAGAGCGAGCATTCTGATGACTCGTTAATTGAAGATAACCTGGTTATTCCCGTCGCCCGGTAGGCATTAGATGTCGAGAAGCTTGAAGGGATTTTGCAGTGGGAGCTCTTCCTGTTGCTCGAATACCCGATGAAGCTACCTTTACGTAGATTGCTGATATTATTGATAATGCGGCCTACATCGCGTTATGTATCCGTTATATAGACTCCGATCAACCGTATAGGAGGCAAATCGATCCCTTGCGGCGTATCCAGACAGGCCACGAGACATCTCCCTCGATAGAGCAGTTATTGTTGGCCAACGACTTTACCTAACTGCCAAGATCCGGATTGTAGTTACGATAAGTTACGGCCCACGGGTGTGTGGTCTGCCCTGCTGGACAAATCACAACTAGCTGATACTATAGGTTCGGCTGGAGCCGCAGCCCCTGCAGCCAACGTCAAGGTAATATTTTTTGTCCTCTCTCTCGCTAACCCAATATAACCTACAAACTTCTTACAGCAAGATCACACCCACTCTAGCTGAACTCGATCAAGCTGTCTGTTATCTCTCAATATCTCTTTACCTGCCGCGTGACTACCCTCTGTTTACCTCTGTTACCTATCAACCAGACGCGTCCCGAGCAGCCCACACCCTCAACCCAATGGAGGACAATTATTTCAGGGTCATACCCCCTGCGCAGCCAAAGGACCCTGATATACGATTTGGAAATCACTGCAAGTCACCAGAGAAGTGGTATATACGCGTTAAATCGCATATTACGCCCGAAACTATAAGCCTCGTGGCCTTGGAACAACTGCCTTGTTATCAGTATAAAGGTGAACCGAAGGATACGCCTGGATGGCTCAGCGAGGATGATTTTGATGCGTGGCTCACGATCGTGGAACGTGATTTCAACAATTCCATGACGAGGAAGGAGATCCTACAAATGCTATATTTCAATGGCTTTCACATGCCACGAGCAGGTGTCCGAAATTATACCAATTGGCGCGCGCACATTGGCCATCATATCTCTAAGACACAGGAATTAGAATCGAAATCACCGCCAAAGCCTCGATCTCGGGATTTAAAACCTACACGCCTCAGACAAAGCGCCCGGATGAGCTGTGGACCCGTGCATATAAAGAGAAAAGTGGTCTCGGAGGACTTAAATTCGGAAGTAGAAGGATATCGATATACGCTGTGTTTCTTCACACGTCCACGTACGGTTTGGCCAACTGGTATGTTATAAATAATGAGGATACATTTACTTTGGTTTAATGCTAGTACTACGGTTACTAATCTAATATATCAAAAAATTACAGATCCTCAACAAACCACGCCTGTACTAGGAGGGTGTACTAACGAGACTTCTGGAGAGCGAAAGGCGAGCATGGAGCCAGATTCGAATATCAAGGAACAAGTTCAAGAGGGCAGCATAGAGCCGAACAAGCGGCCAAAGACGACCAAAGATGAGCAGGATACTGAAGTAGCTATGGATAGTGACATTTCCACTAGCATTTTGGATGCAGAAGCTAGCCCTGCGATGGTTCAGTGTAGCGATACCCCTCCCCTAGACCCAAAGAGCTCTGTCCCAACTTCGCAACCTGCGTATGGCTCTGATGCTACTGTGGACCGCCAATCTTATCGTTCTAACGGCGACTGCCCAGATGAGAGTGCTCCAGGGAATAGTACCAATGAAAGTGATTTACAAGATGGCCCGGGTGAGGGTGCTCTAGAGAACGGTACCAATCGAAGTGATTCACAAGATGACACCGATAGAAGCGATTCACAAAACGGCTCCGATGATAATGCTTCGCAAGATGACTCCGATGATAGTGCTTCACAAGATGACTTCAATGATAGCGATTCACAAGACGGCCCGGGTGAGAGTACTCCAGGGAACGGTACCGATGGAAGTGACTCTCGGGATGACTCCAATGATAGTGCTTCACAAGATGACTTCGATGGAAGTGATCCACAAGACAGCCCGGATAAGAGCACTCCAAGGCACGGCCACAGCGATGCTACAGACCGCCAATCTCGTTATCCGGAGGATGACTTGTTGCCAGATAATGAGGACGATGATAGTTCGGTTTTAAGCATTTCTAAGGACGACTTCTTGAAACAATCGGTCAATAATAACTTTGAGGATAATGAGGACGATAATGATTCATCATTAGTATTTCTAAGGACGACTTCTTGAAATAGTTGGTTATAGACTTAGTGAGATATGAGCAGGGTGATAATGAAACTGGCAGTTTGGCTGTAGCAACTTGGAGTAATTCATCAATGTAGGTCAATACACATCGGCAATTGATGGGGATATGAACGACAATGGTGACACTACTCTTGGTTTATGGTGAGCTTCTACTACGAGAATATGTCAAATGGGTGTATTAACTAGACATCATCTCATCGCTCGCTACACTGTATTTAGCATCCGCAGTAGATAGAGCTCAGATATCATCGACCTTTTCTTGATATAACACTTGATGATTAAAGCTAGTATGTTCTATAACTGTCAGAATCTTCGTGTGTACGGCGTCTTGGCAGTATCAGGCCAACGCCACGCCCCCCCCTGCAGATCTGTTTGATTACGGCTCGTACGTACGCTACGCCTTCCCCCATATATATAGAGGCCAGATATGGCCTGTTTCCCTAGTTATCATCATCATTCATCGATATTAGGCCTATTTTCGCTCTTTGCTATTGTATCTTGGGCTTATAGGCATTGATTTGCCGTTCCGTTGTGTCCCGTAGAGACGCCACAATCGTACCGATCATTAGCGCGCTCCGATAATAACTATTCCTCTGTATTATATAATTGAATATCTTTTTCTTGGCATTATCACGTGTTTACAAGGACTAATATTCTTCCACTCCGTTTACATCACGTGTTACCCCGTCAAAATATGCCTGGGATTACATAATGCCCACCCCCCGTAGGAGTTCCATCAACCAATCAACAACACTGGGCCCTTTTGTATATCCAGTAGGATGAAGCCTTCCAGTAGTGAGCAGAGCGAACGCTACAACCTAGTCATGAAGATATGTATGGAGTACTCGCGCCGCCAACACCCGTTATAGTGCTCGCCGGCTCAGCTCTTGATCCATACTCCGTACATACAATGCAGTTCCATTCTCCAGGACGGCCTCCCATCTGACCACCACGGACCTGGTCACGATGATACGCACTCCAAGGCGTCCGAAGCGCCTATATTGGTCGACGATACCGACATTATTCGAACACTCCTGGCAGATTAGCCATTTGTCCTGTACGATGATCCCGCCGACCCACAAGGGAAGTGTCCTGCGGAACGGGGCGTGTGGCGCATTTTGGGCATACGTCCGGCTTGGAAGGAAGATGGGGTGTGGACTTCGATTTCGTCAAGAGAGATGGTCATTTTCTCATCCTCAATTCGCCTGGGGACTTCGTGGGATGATATCTGGAGTCGAACGCTGCAGGGAGATTGTCTGGACGGCTGGAAACAACGAGATGCGGCCCGGAGAATCCTGACCCAGAGCGATTCCAATACAGGTTCTAGTTGGCTCAATCGTTGCACTTATCAACGGGCTAACATTGATTCTATATTTACCCTTGATGGCACTGGCTTCGATTTATCGCTACATTTATCCAGGGCTCTGGCTTCGATATATCTGCATTTTTCTGACAGGTTGGTTTTGATATATCGCCGCAACTTATTGCTATATAGTGATCTTTGTTTACTGATAATTATCATTTGTTTGCCAGGTAAGCTTACCTTATTGAATACCTTGCTAACTGCCTATATATATGTCTGGCCTTGATCAAGCGCAGCCATATCTCGTTCACAGCCGCCACATCTAGTATTGACCTATACCCACTGGCAGATAAGTAAACTACCACCGTATGTACGGAGTAGTTTCAGTGACTGCTGGGGGCTACAATGAATACTAAGATTACCGATCTTAGTGACTATCTATACCCTCTATCAATGAAAACCGTAATCTCCGGCTATGGTGACTGATCCCAGCCACTTTTGACAAAGGCTATACCCCCTAGTAGAGTGAATTCCTACCTTCACTGCTATATTGAAATGAAATGCTGCGCCATCACCGGCCTCTGTGAATACTCATCCTTAGCCCTATATAACCCCCCTCCAAACCCTTTTCTTTACTCTTCAACCATCTTCCTTATCTTATTCTCTCCTCACCGAATCGCGATAATCCCCTCAGACGGGCGCGATCTTTACTTATATATATTATCAGAGGCCTTTCTCTTTCCCTGATTTCTCTCCAACATCATCTGGCAGCCTTTACCTACGATCGCATCCGGGCTTCTGTATGCTATTTTTCACCTATGGTCGCATTTGGCCTTGGCTCGCACTCTGGTTTAGGCTTTGACATAAGCTCCACGATGGCATATAAAGATTTCAAAGCATATATGTCCGGTATATCCGATATTGTCCCGCCCAGCCCTATATCAGCGAGAACAGCAGCAGCCCTAGCCCTATCTTATACCCTCCCAAGCCCTGTTAGGACACCAATCAACAGGATCAGCTACCAAGGTCGAACATATAGGCCGGGGAAATTTGTTGAGCTCCATAATGGCACCTTTTTACGACTAAATCATATCTTTTATTCGAGCGAGGGAACCGACATCTCAGGACCCAAGTTTGCACATTTAGAAACCATGGACAGCCTAATATCGGAGAAGGATATTGCCAATGCTTTGGTAAAGGAGAAAACACCATGCTAAAAGATTTAGGCCGCTGAAAGTGCTGGCCTTCGTCTCACCCTTTGTGCTGGCCTTTATCTCGTCCTTCGTGTTCGCCCTTAGTGCTAAGGCAATTCAAAAATCGTCTCGCCCGTTGTGCTGGCCTTCGTCTTACCCTTTGTACTAAGGCAGTTCAAGAAGTCGCTTTCAAGCCCCCTATGGCTTCTTTGAAACACCCAGCGCCATCACCAATCTCTGATACGACCATCAGAGTTGATATGCAATAGCCTTTGCGAGATCCAAAGGAGCAAAGACGAGCTCCTATCAAGGCTATGGATGACACTACCCAGGCATTGTCTTATGAAATAACGATGAGCAAATTCAGTCATGGAATCGTTGACCTAAGACAGATTATTGCATCAATCAATCTCCGGGCAATAATCTCCGAGCTACATTTGATGCCTGTCACAGGAATAGGAGTGTTTATATTGATTGGAATTCATATAGACAGCTTTATCGCCTTCCTATATACTAAAAAGAACGAAATCACAGGGCAAGTGAGGACACTCCAATCGAAGACAAAAGGACTTGGAAGAGAGCTTCCTATCAAGCTTTGCCGAACGGGGGCCAGACCTTAGAAGCACCATGGAAGAAATGACACTCCATCAGCTGCAGCCAGGCGAGACATTCCAGCCGTTGCTCAATAGTATACCCGAGAACCTCATTCATAGGTTCGATCCCATTTCGTTGAGCATTATAATCGTCATAATGTCGGACGCCTCCATACAAACGCCTGAACTCAAAAAAATAATTAAAAAACTGGTTCCTCGACTACTATTCCGCAAATTCAAGTATGACATGGAATAGGCTCTATGATAAAGGCAAATCTTTTCTCGTTATTTGGAGCAGAAACCAGAGCAGAAACCAGAGTATTAGAAACCATGGCACAAGGGCCTAAAGATAAGCCTAGTGAAGCCGAAGTGGAAGATCACCTCAAGGGCAAACCATCAGCTGCTCCCCTAGCCGAGCTAGATGCCCTTTGGAAATCAATCTTTCAGAGGGCAATTCCGCCAATTCTCCATGGATATGCATAGCTCTTCTTATGAAAAAATACATCTTCGACAGTTCGAGATGGATACAGCAGGTAACTCATGCGAAGCCCCTTATTAGAAGGGCATATACCGGTCGGATTTGGAGAGACCTAAACATAAGAAGAGGGCGCCATCATCGCTAGAACCCTACTAGCTTGATAGCACCAAGGATCAAGCAAAGGCCCGAGCTTGTAGATTCGGCCAGATAAACAAGTTTATACCTGGAGATAGAAATGGAGGTGGCGACCACTACGGCAATATACCTACTTCTATCTATTCACGCAGTTATTTCGAATATCACCCATAAGAGGGTTGAGTGTAACCAGGCCCAGGGAATAACACACAAACCTTGATAGGATATACCAAAGGTACTGCAAGAAGTCTAGTAGACTCCCAAGGATAGAACGTAACTCCATGAAAGATAACCGGACTATCGTGAGAGCTAGTATATTTTGGGCGTTCTTGTGCCGTGCAAGTACTAGCACTAAAGGCTGAAATGAAACGTTGAGCAGGAGTGATAGCGAACGTAAGCGATGCTTCATCCACGCTCTTTATCTATATAAAAAAGTCAGGGTAAGTTAGAACTATTCAAATAATTAAAAAGGTTGAAAAGATTAGGTAGACTAACCATAACTTCTTTCTCAATTAAAATTTTTGTAGCACCCTCAGTATATGCTCGAGAGTATTTCCAAATATCTCTAACCTGGAACACGTTATTGGCAACCAAGTTTTTAAAGGTAATAGTTGCACTCTCGCCAGCCGGAGCGCTACAGTAGGTTGCGATATTGGCTTGCCCTTGCACACTCCCATACTCTTTCTCAGCTATATATGCCAAGACACTCTTATCTGGATACAGTTAGATCTCACTTACTCCTGTTTCGAATACTTTACTCTGTATGGTACTGAACCAGTAAAATGACCAGGGCGTTGTACTGCTCCTGTCTGAGTGATACGTACATAGCTAGAAGATTCTATGGGAATGGCCCTGCCAAGACGGGTTCCTGGAGATCTGTCAACCTTTCCTCGCACTCAATCGAGAACTGACCTCCAGAGCCTGTCTGCCAACGCTGCAGGATATTCGTGCAAACTTATCAAACAGGTAGTCATCGAAATTGATAATCTATAAACTACCACTTCGCATCTCACAGTTGCTGCTACTTATATAAAGTCGCTAACGCTATCCGAAGTCAAGCGGGATCGATAGGGTATATACTGATATTTGCCTTGATTAATCTTGGACTGCGCCATGTTACATCGTGAAATACTATGACTAAACTTTGACTGCGAAGCCCGCATACAGTGGCTCACAAGGATGGACCCTTTTCAGATAGAATTTATTGACTGCTATCTCTGAAAAGACTTTAATACCCTTATAGCCTCCAACTTTGCCTCTGACCTTTCCGTCAACATAATAAATAGCGAGCGAGCGAGTTGCATGAAAATTCCTAATCGGAATCATTCCCCTTCTCTTTCGGCACAATCGTGTAGTTTCCGCTTATTTGCGCGACTTAGGAGCCCCCGAGAGAGCCAGTCATGGCAGATCGACCGAGATAACCACCTTCTACTATTAGCATACGAAGATGTATCAATAGGACGAGGATATGTCCATACCTGTCTCTTCGGTTTTAGGGATGTCAACCATAACAGAACCGCTATCCGCAAGCTCTGCCTTGGGCTCGTGGAATGCTTTCCATGCCTGGACCTTGGTGTCCTCGGCTGGCATGTTCTGCGTACTAACTTCTGTAAAGAAGTTGCTGGAAGGTTGGGTAGGCATAATGGCGAGTAATCGGTGGCTTGATTGCACTAACTATGGCTTAAGCTTGATTCTGTTTAGCTGTTAGCTATTGTAAATCAGCTCAAGCTTGGAATGCCTACTTGAAAAATGGGTAATAGGTGCTGCTTTTCCTTACTCTGGAGCCGATAATTGAGGTCCACCCACAGCCTCTTATTTATATCCAGCTTACGGACCGTCCGCGCGCCGGACCGGCTATTTCAGTACTCCTTATCAGAACTATCCTTGGTTGCTGCATTAGACTGTTGCTACATCCGCGTTTCGTTACATTATAATGTTACAGTATCGGATGCTGCGGCATCGAGGAGCTGCTATTTAATTAGGTAAAAGGCCGGGGAGCATTCCTAGGTGCATCTTTAGATGCGGTGAGACCACGCAACTCCTTTCCTTGGCTGTGGTTTCCCCTCATCGGCTATAATACCATGTCTGCTCAGAGAAGTAGCGGCATAGGTGAGAAGATCCTCCGGTCTTCCCTGTTATTTCAGAATCAATTTTTAGAATGACCCGTCCCTTATAACCACACGATATCTTGATTATATCAAGTCGACACCAGCCTTTGAACATCTTCTATATCCAACCCCAAGCCGCGCCAAAATGCCTGATATATTTGCGAACATTGAACACTTGGCTGATCTTCCGCTTTACAAAGTCGAAAAGCCATATGGAGCACTCCTCAGCAACGGCAGCGTCTACTTTTCCCAGGGCCATCGACTTGATAATATCGAGTTCACGGAATACAGGCGTAAAGCCGTCGATGTTGGCAACAACCCCGCCTACACGTTACCAAAGAATGGGTTTCAAATCTTCAAGCAGGAAAGCGATACCATGTGGGACGTGAGTACGATTGATTTGGCACGTCGTCACCGCGAAGAGATCGCCGAGTGGTTGAAAGGGCGGCTTGACGCTGTTTTCGTTCATACGTATGATCTGAGAACCAGGTTGAATGACGAAGCGCCGAGGGATCAAGTCGACGTACTGAGTCCCTTGGTTGTGGAGCCAAGGGCCCGAGGTGCCCACAATGGTTTGTTGAAACACTCCCTAGCTATTACAACACGCACTGCTAACTAGCCCACTAGATGTCACATTGAAATCTGGCCCAGATATCTTCTTTAGCCACCTAATTGAAGGCCAAGAGGACTATCTGAAGCCAGGATACCGGGTTCGAATCATGAAGTGAGTCTTCCTCGGTCGGGATTGTTGCATCCCAGGCGCTAATGAAGACAGCACCTGGCGCCCTCTTCGGCCTGTCTGCAAAGACAACCCTCTTGCATTCTGTGACGCAAGTACTATTGATCCTAAAGATCTAATTGCTGCGGATCGCGTGTACCCACATTCGGTGGGAGAAATCTACTATCTGGCTTACAATGAGAATCAGCAGTGGTAAATCTCCTCTAAAGCCAATACTCTGTGATATGAACTGATTTTGCTAGGTGCTGGGTTGAGAACCAAACCCCATCAGATGTATGCTATTCCAAGAGCGTTGCCTATAGAAGATTCCTATCCCTAGTCCTAGGCATTGCTAATCCTCGCATTCAGGTCCTTGTCATGACTATGTATGACACCCATCCAGGAAACGATGCACGATGTAAGGATTCCCGCATATACTCTTGTGCCTATCTGTGCTTACGAGGATATAGACTGCCCACATGTCTCATTTGTAAATGAACGTGCGCCAGCAGACTCTCCACCCCGAACGAGTCTGGAAACTAGGTCAATTGTGATTAGCAGGCTAAAGGACTAGGATAATGAATGCGACGTCACAAGGGTACTGGGATCTAACCAGTGGGGAATAGCCTTGTTTGATTTGCTTTGTATGTTGAATGTGATATTCACACATGGGTCATACTTCAAATACATAGTCCTTATAACATAACTAGAGACATTTGCTATTTTGAAGCCGTATATAATAGGCCGAGGAAGCTCGCGTTGAGGTGGTCGAGAAGCAGTTCCTTTAGTAGACCGTCGTCGTGCATCCGGAAATGCGCCACATAGGCCATCACCTAATGTTAACTACACGCTCGGAGAGCTTAAGGGTTTCCCCCGCTCTGCACCCGCATAAATAGAAATGTCAACCCCGTTTCTGTACTCGGGGTATATGGCATCTCCAAAGAACCATATGCAGACATCTCATTACAAGGGAGGTGTGTAATTGTTGGAACTAGCTAGATGATGCATGAGGTCACCCATGCTAGTTACCATTCAATTTTTCCGGCTTGGCAAACTTACGCTGCCCTCCACAGATGCTCTGGGGTGAACGCTGTTGTTTCTTGCATACTACAGCCATCAGACAGGTGCATATGTGGCCCAACGGGAAATGCGGGCTTGAGACTGCTCTTACTCGTGCCAATATCCGTGTGACAGGGTGTTGTGGGTGGCTAGCTTGCAGCCTTGGCTGCTCTCTCTCCAGGGGTTGAGGTCAACGCGACATGCTTGCTGGGCACTAGCCGTTCTTGCTCTTCTGGAACCTGAAAGGCTCTCTTCCGGAGGTGCTCTCTTACTTTACTCTGCACCTACAGTATCCCAGCAGTAACCGCCTGAACCCGTCACTATCACTTCGTTGCAATAATCAACAGCCTAGCCTTGGACTGTTTTAAGACTTCCAATTGTGTCCGACCAAGCTTCATCAGTCTACAATGTGTCAACGGCTGTGAGCAGAGTCACAATACCTACGACTATCCCGCACAGCCTCTACAGTGTCTGGTTTACGGAAAATGATTCCGGAACAGGCTAAGCGGGCCCCAGCCATAGAGCTACAGCAAAATCAAGGCACAATACACGCTGAAATAACCAGCACGAGACGAATGCGGAGCTAGATCCCATAGGTCAGGATGCCAATGAGCGGAATTATCCCCATGGTATGAAGCTTGCATTCCCTCATATCAAGAGCCAGTGAGTTTTAAATCATCTGGTGACAATTTACATTATTAGCCTTGGGCCTATGGAGCTTACAGGAGCTTTGGATAGTGGTAGGTATACAGTATACAGGAAAGAGTAGGAACAACCTTCTCACATTGAATCTCTTTTCATACCATAACCTAGCAAAATCATATAGATATCGTACTTTAGGTTAGCTCAGAGCTCGACACCTTCTTAATTGATCTCCACTCCATTCCCATCGAGGAAATCAATGCTGCAGCAGCCAGCGCAACTCCACAATAAATCGTCCTTGTCAAGGCAAAATTGTACACCTTTAACACACCACCCAAGGATTCTGGCCCAACAGTCCCCCGGAAACCTGTTGCTCCTTTGTCGAGCACAAGTTTGGGGTCTAAACCCGGTACAGCATTAACAAGGCCTTCAAGTAACTGGCTCGTGAGCACATTCTGTGCCACAGATAGCCACACTGCGCCACCAAGAATTTGCGCAAAGATCATGATAACAGCCCCAATAGGCACGTCTACGGGCGCGAGAACTGTTTGGGCAGCCGTGTGAGTTTGTTGAATACCAAGGCCGGCGCCAGCGCTGAATATGAGCTGGTACCCTATCCATTGCGTAGTGGACGATGAAACTTGCCATGTTGTTATTAGGGAGGCGCCAGTGACTAGTAAGGCAGCACCTAGGATCATAAAAGGGGTATAGTATCCGAATTTTGCAACGCCGATGCCAGCAATGAGAGAGAAGATCACAGTTCCAAGGGTGGTTGGCAGAATGCGGCTTCCCGAGTCAAATGCTGTAACGCCTTGGATAGCTTGAAACCAGATGGGTATCTAGGGAGCCGTTAGTAGGTGATAAGCAGAAGATAATGAAAAGCACGAACGAAGTATTGAGTGACATTGAGCGCGCCCCCTGCATGGAAGACGTAACAGGCACTGCATGCCACGCTGCGCTGCTTGATAATTCGAGGAGGCACAGTAGCGCTCTCTTGCTTCCAGACTTGGACTATAACAAAGGCCAGCCCGGCCGCTCCTGCTGCTGCTAGTAAAGCGATCGGTGGAGCAGTATTCCATTTGTATAGCGAGCCACCCCATTGAAGAGCGAGAAGCAAGCAAACGATTCCTGGGACCAAAATAGCGGTACCAAGGAGGTCCATCTGACCAAGCTTTTGCTGCCAAGTGGTTGATGGCTTCTTTGCACTGGTCGGTGGATGAAAAAATAATGCCATCGCAAGTAAAGCGGCTCCACCGATTGGCAAATTTATATAAAAACACCAACGCCACGTCATTCTTGTAGTGAACGCTCCACCCAATAAAGGTGCTACGACGGAGGCGACGCCATACATGCCACTGTACGAGCTGACAAATATTGGTCTTCTCGCCAGTGGAAGACAGCTTGCCAGGATACTATCTATACATGAGTTCACGTCCGTTGGAATGGAGGGAATCTTGAGGCTTACATGATGAAGCCGGCATTTATGCCAGCGCTGCCTAAACCTGCGAAGGCACGACCTATAATGAAGGCACTGGAGGTTGAAGAAGTAGCACAGATCAGGGAGCCGACTTCGAAGATGGCAACTGAGACAAGGAAGACATATTTAATGGAGTAAAACGAGAATAGTTTGCCGAATATAAGTTGAAAGGCCGCAAAGGTCATGAAGCTATAATCAGTGAACATGTTTCCTCATCTAAGAGAGGTTTAAATAGTATCAACTTACTACGCAGATCCGTACCACCCAATATCATTTATGGAATGGAAATCATCAGTGATTTTGGGGATTGCAGTTGTGATAATAGTCTCGTCCTGAAAGATTATGGGGTATGTTAGCCTGGTTTTCCTCGCAAAACACTACTCCGATGCTGGGTATACTTACCAGGGCCACCAAGAAGATCGAAGCGGCCAGAGAGCCAACAATCACAGCGAGCTTCATACCATGGGGATAATTCCGCTCATTGGCATCCTGACCTATGGGATCTAGCTCCGCATTCGTCTCGTGCTGGTTATTTTCAGCGTGTATTGTGCCTTGATTTTGCTGTAGCTCTATGGCTGGGGCCCGCTTAGCCTGTTCCGGAATCATTTTCCGTAAACCAGACACTGTAGAGGCTGTGCGGGATAGTCGTAGGTATTGTGACTCTGCTCACAGCCGTTGACACATTGTAGACTGATGAAGCTTGGTCGGACACAATTGGAAGTCTTAAAACAGTCCAAGGCTAGGCTGTTGATTATTGCAACGAAGTGATAGTGACGGGTTCAGGCGGTTACTGCTGGGATACTGTAGGTGCAGAGTAAAGTAAGAGAGCACCTCCGGAAGAGAGCCTTTCAGGTTCCAGAAGAGCAAGAACGGCTAGTGCCCAGCAAGCATGTCGCGTTGACCTCAACCCCTGGAGAGAGAGCAGCCAAGGCTGCAAGCTAGCCACCCACAACACCCTGTCACACGGATATTGGCACGAGTAAGAGCAGTCTCAAGCCCGCATTTCCCGTTGGGCCACATATGCACCTGTCTGATGGCTGTAGTATGCAAGAAACAACAGCGTTCACCCCAGAGCATCTGTGGAGGGCAGCGTAAGTTTGCCAAGCCGGAAAAATTGAATGGTAACTAGCATGGGTGACCTCATGCATCATCTAGCTAGTTCCAACAATTACACACCTCCCTTGTAATGAGATGTCTGCATATGGTTCTTTGGAGATGCCATATACCCCGAGTACAGAAACGGGGTTGACATTTCTATTTATGCGGGTGCAGAGCGGGGGAAACCCTTAAGCTCTCCGAGCGTGTAGTTAACATTAGGTGATGGCCTATGTGGCGCATTTCCGGGCCTCCTCTGGTTTTTGCCATGCTGGCTGAAGTTGTGTTTGGGCGAGCGGCGGAGCCGGGTGGAAGTGTTTTCCTCGCATCCACAGTCTACAGAGTATGGCATGTCTCCCTCTGGCTGAATTTGACGGACACTAACGGCTCTAGATCACGGCATGAACCGCTTTTCCCGGAGCAGACATATGAGGTACTTCGACTCAATGGGATGAAAGGCGATGATCCCCTGGTCGAAGTTAGGACCAACGATGGCAGTATCAAACATGGATACTGTACGTGGGTGGATTTTGCGCATATGTCGCAAGCATGGGAGGTATACCTGAGGGGTGAAGGAGAGACTTTCAACCCAGGGGTCAAATTGATGATTCTCATATACCGCATGACAGGTAAACAGACGCGCAGGCATTGGTAATCACCTTCTGTGCGAGAACTCCAGGCCGCTAAAATCTACTGACCTTGAGCAAAGGTACGGGCGAATGATTGTGGCGAACCCAGCCGCGGTGGACCGTATCGAAAGTTATCAGGGGCTCAGATACGGGACTATGTCGGGCGGTGATACGCGCAGACCCTTGGCCGTTGCTTTGGTTAAGGGTAAAAGGGTGAAAGTTATGTTCCCGAGTTTCGATGTGTACCGGCATTGCAATGGAGCAGGCGAAACGCTCCGGGAGCGGCTGGATATTGAAAGGTATTCGACAACGTGTTTGGCGGCGCGGAGTCGGGATTAGCCGTTAGTCGGGCTGTCGTGATACCATGTTCCCTACACGCTTTAGCGTCTTCCTAGGTCAAACAATGCCAAATGCGGCCATTCTCTCCTTCGATGTTTCTTTGGCTCAAATTTCTTTGTTGTTAAATTTATCTGCGTAGGGCTCGTCACATTGGTGAGCATGTTGCGTGAGACCTGCAACAATTAATTCCACTTTTCTCCTGGCTTGTATATAAAATCCGATTGATTCCTGATCCTTTTTATTTTGACGTTTCTATGGGAGCTCTTATTCTCGTACGTTTGCCATCTTTATTTATTACTGTAGCGCTCGTCGTGCTCTAGAAGCAAACTGAATCTAGGCGAAATGCCCTCATACGCACTGGCTGAGGTGATTACTGGCGACTTCGAGACCGGTCCCACTGGAGTCAACTTTGCCCACTCGATAGTGAATGACCGGGGGCTCCCCATCGGAGAGGAAGCAGACCGGCAGAAGATCGAGGAAGCCACACGAGATCTTACCGAAGAGATCATTCTTAATGCAAAATTGAGACTCGGAGGGGCGTATCTCACAACGCTGCCAAGGTTAGCTACTGATCATTCCTGGTACACAATCTAGTTACTGACGGCTTGATAGCGAGCTGTATCCAAGGATTGCGCCAGGGGTTTCTCCTGATACTACGCTGTAAGTTATTGTCGTTCGTGATAATAGGATACTAATAAAGGTTGTACAGATATTTATCTATATGCGTTACGGGGAAAGAACTGGAAGGTAAAGATAGTTGTGATTGTTATGAGCAGGTCATACCCGAAAGGCCTACGAAGTATCTTGACTTCGTACAAAGAGACGGTATACGGGTCTTTCTCAGATACATGACAAAGCCCAACGGAGCCACATGCATTATGGCCTCAGAGCAAAGCGTATTGGATAAGTTTCGGATGTTCCGGGGATATTTCTGTGAAAACCAGGTCGACAACCTTGAGTTGCGTTTTTGCGAGGAAGCTCTTCTGTCAAGCGAAAGGGAGGGTGCCAAGGCTTTGGATGAAGCGGTGGCTGCGGCTGCTATGGCTTGGCAAGAGCAAGCCATAGCCGCAACCAAAATGTAACTAGCGTATGCTCCTCTCCTGCCTTTATTCTGAAGTTACATGAGCGCCGTCCCATACCGTGTGGGAGGTACGATGTGTCTGTATATTTGGATAGTTTTCTCCAGGGCTGGATTGGCAGTTTGATTAAATCTCATTGTATATTTATATATCGCGCCCACGCCCGCTTACGATGGGCCCCGGCTGTAAGTCTCGCGGCGTACATCGCTTTTATTATCCACCTTCGTGTCTCCCGTCAGAATGTATTTACCTTTATCCATTGGAGGGCCTGACCTAACTTATCACTCGGACCAGCTGCCAGCACGGCCATCTCCCGAGCATTTGCTCCCAGGATATACTCCCGGGTACTCTTACGATGCGGTCGCACCAGCGCCTACGACTACGACTACGTATTCTCCGGATGGTTTACCACAGAATATCGCATTCCATCAACAATACCTAAATCCGCCGCCGCTAACGACCGACCCAAAGGCATATCAGCTGATCGCGCAACTGCCATCCTACGGCCAACGACTTGACCATGGCGGTATATCGTGCGGTCCCTCCAACGGCGCGGAAGGCAAGGTCACGGCAATGATACCGACGGCTCTGCCCTTCCAGGATTTAAGGAAGAGGGTCGTTGGTTCCCAGGGTCGACGAGGAATCCTCCCAAGCACCAATCTTGCGGAGCGCGCGGGGATCCCGGACAATACAGACGGCAGATTCCCGTGCCCACGCTGTAGCAAGACATATCTCCATGAAAAACACCTCAGGCGACTCTTTTGCGTCGTAAGTCTGGTACTCTTAGCCAAGTCTCCGCAATCTGCTAATGGATCGTAAATACTATGCAGATACTGGAGAGCGACCCTACATGTGTATCCTCTGTGAAAACACCTTCACGCGAAGCGACACCCTCAAACGTCACTTCAGGAAGTGTTCCCTCCGACGGGGCAACCCAACCGGATTAGGTCATTTGTCCCATCCGCATGCCCGCAGGCCTCGCTCGGGCAGTGCGGTATAGGACCATATGCATATCTATCTAAGTTAGCATCTGTATAATAAGTATATATCGTTTGTTCTCGTGGTTCCTTGCCATGGTGTGTCTAGTTTTTTAACTTTGCAATTAAGTAACTTCGTTATTAGTTCCTTCTGCTAGCTGTCTGCGTTGCATAATCGTTCGTTACCGTCCTGTGTGAAAAAGATGCCCCCGCCGAAGGTTTGCTGAGCCTCACTGCATGTTACGTAATAGGGAAGGCGTCGATTCGTCATCTGACCCACACGTTTCTACTTCCGGGCGGTTAAATAACATCTAGTCAGCCCATCCTTTTGACGTTTTTTCTCCGCGCAATTATATTATACATTGTCTAAGTTATTAGCTCCCAGTCTCTGCTCAGCTATCCACGCTCACTTATACATATACAAGCGCCCTTACTAAAATTCGTATGGTCGCTGTCATCTATGTTACATTGCAAAATAACCGACAAGCCAAGTATATTTCAACCCGTTGGCTGGCGCTTCGGTCGTCTACCACGCCGAGGTTTCCCACGAGAAACCCCACGACGAGAAATCTGTGTCAACCCAGGTACGCGACTTCTCTTGGCATCGGGGGAATATGTTTTCCCTCTCCTTGCAGTCTGATTTTTGACAAATACACACATTGTTGGCCTGCCTCAACTTGCGCAAAGCACGACATGTCTCTTCTAGACTCTGACCCATTTCGTTTCTGAGAAAGTTTTGGCGCACCTCTTCGGGGGTCGATGGCTTTTTCGCAGCTACGCCATCGAAAATTTGGCTTAGCCCAACATGCGTACTCTCCACGTTTGCTTCACAGTCTGAATCCGTGACAGCAGAACTGTAGTGAGGGGGCTCGCTGGGGTCTCTGTCGCTGTTTGATTGCTGTCGGGGTGGCGAAGTTGTTTTATCGTTATGGACATGGAGCCACGCATTTGCTTGCTGGATACGGCGCTTTTGCCGGATCATCGCTTCGGCGGCGGCTGGGGCTTGGGTACACCAGTGGTATCGTATGCTCCGCGAGAGTGCTCGAGAGGACGGGCGATTACGATCATAAGTATAGATGGCTCGATCGGGAGGGCGATGGGATTGGTAAATCACGACAACGGCCAGAAAAACCATGGCCTTTATATCCCATTCTAAAGAATCTAGACGTGATTGTCTCTAGAACTAGACTACAAGGGAAGTTGCACCATAAACCGGTGATCATAAGTAACTACTATCTAAAGTCTCAAGCAGGCGAATAGGGAGTGCAACCGCAAACGCCAACAACCCTGGAAAAGAAGATTCCAGGGCACTTTCCCGGTCTGGGACCCCTTGTGCCCAATATGGCGAAGTGGACGGTCTGGGGCTGTATACAAAGCCACAGCAACTACAAATGCCTATTGGCACATTTGTGTTTGAGATTATCCCGGACCGCCGACTGAGACCAGAGCAATCTAAGTTGGCACCTTGCTTCTGCAAAAAGGCTTGATAATATTACGAGCATAGAGCAGAGGTTGGCCTCAGCAGATTTTTTTTTGGCCCAGGCCCTTAAATCTTTGCGTTGGTAGCTTGTTTCTCTTCTTCCTTCTGCCAACCGTTTCCATATCTTACACCATGACCCCGACCGGACTTCTCCGTACATTATCTATGCTGCTACGTGGGCCTTCTACTTATGCTGGCACCACCACTCCTTGACATCTCGTGGGAGACCGAGGTCGCGACGTGCGTCTCCGAATACTGCAAATGGCTGGAACGTGCAGATAGGAATGCACAATACGGGGTAGATCAGCAAGGGAAGGGCCGCATGTCAGCTTTGGTTCCGGGCTATTGTGCGTAGCTAGATTCCTGCGGAAGCAGGGCTGGCCGTGTATATAATGCGGCATCCTCCTGCTCCTTCACTGCCTACGATTGAGTCAAGCCTTAGACGACTTTCCCAAATTGAATCAAACTAAATTTTTCTCAAAAATATTCGCCATGAGCGTCACCAAGGTCACTATTGAAAGGGGCAGCGGTGATTTCCCTACTGAAAACGACAAGGTGAAGGTCGCATATACTTGCTACCTTAAAGATGATGAAAAACCAGGAGACTATTTTAAAGGAAAGCAGTAGGTTCCTCCCTCCCTGCCTACGACATACCTGGGAACCGTTATTGACCTTTCTCATAGGATTGTTCTCCCAGGACAGTCGGGCGATCTCACATTTCGCATTGGAAATAAAGAGGTTGTTCCTGGTATGCCGACATCAATCACTCGGTTAAGTATAGTACTGAAAATGGTCTTCTCCCTAGGGTTTGAAGAGGGGGTATCGCGTATGAAACTTGATGAGCGGTGCATCTTGACTATTCCTAGGTAGGCTGTATTCCCATTTATGTTGATAATGGTATGGCTTGTTAGCTGACCCACGGTATCAAGTGAGCGCGCATATGGTGAAAAGTAAGCTGCCCCGTGCTCTGAAGGCTTCATGCTTATAATTTTAGGGGATTCCCCGGGTGTATACCACCCAACGCGGCTCTAGTTTGGTATGAGTTCCAATACTGTAAACCTTCGGCTGAAACTAACGGTTTATAGTGAAATCCGCCTTTGGCAGATCGATAAATCGCCAGCTACAGTCTATAGCTGCACGTATTGCCGTAAGCCCTTCGATGCTAAGGATGACTGGAGTCGCCCCGAGTTTGCCCACCTAGATGAGGATGATAATATCGGCGAGAGATGGCGGTGCCCCGAACCCAACGAAGCCGGTGGAGACTGCGCCAAGAAACTTCGTTCGATGCACCTTTTTGAACAGCATCGCCGGGATGAGCACGGTATGGCCGATACCCCGGGGGAATGCCGCGTGGAAAACTTTACGGGGGGCGACTACCACACTCGCTATTGGTGTGGCTTCTGCAAAAAGCTTGTTTCCAATACCACGGAGGGTTTCGAAGCTATATCAGAAAGAAATACTCATGTCGCGCGTCACTTTGAGAATGGGAGTACGATCAAAGAGTGGGTGCACTAGTAGTCTGTTAAATAGTTCAAGTGGACTAGTGTGTCATATTTCGGTTTTAAAGGCTTGAGAATGGGAACGGGGAAGTCGTGGGAATAATTCCGTGCCAATGTATCCCATTGAAGGGTCGCCTGTGTGTGTCAGTGTATAATCTTGAGTTTAACAGACGGTTCTGGAACCTTTCGCACGTGATCGCGCACGACGGTGCTTTCCTCACGACGCTTTTGAATGTACGGCATGCCTATCTATCCTTGATCAAGTCGTTCGCCTGTAACGGCTCCAAGCCAGATCCCTGGCCTCGAATCTTCTATACCCGCTCGTTCCATCATCTCTCTTGGCCATGGAACCTGGAACCTGCGAGAAGTGCCTAAACCGCAGGACGGACCCTCTGCATCTATTGCTGCAAGGTATGATTTCTACGTGCATGTTGGGTGATCTCTTACTTTGGAAACCGAATATTCCTCCTGGGGCTAGCCAGTTCACTCTTAAAGATATACTGCTTTAATTGGACTTAATTACAGAAACAATGGTTCAAAATCGCCCACCTCTCCAACTGCCTGAATCCGAGGACATGCTGATACCCGAAATTTACGCGAGCCCGGTCGCCGGAGGAGCTATCTATTCCTGGGATTTGAAAATTCATTCCTCAAGTCTTCTTATCGAAGCCTTGACAGTGACAGACCAATCGTTAGTTACGATATTGCTGGCGCGCACTCCTTTGTGCGGCCCAGACTACAAGGCATGCATCTGAATCTATAATAGTCAGTTTTTCACCGTGAAGAGATGCTTGATGGGGACACACAGCTCTACAGAGTGATTGTTTTTGCAGTTGCACACGCAGTTGCATTTCTTATGGTTCCATTGAATAGAAGGTCTTGAAAACTCGGTAGCTTCTATAATATCCTCGTCAGAAGCCAGCGTTGTGATAAAAAGACCTTGTAGTCTCTCGTGAAGGCTCTCAATAGAGAAACGTACCATCCTCAGCGATAGCAAGCTTCTTTCCAGAGGCTCTCTCTTCGGATTCAAGGAAGTCTTGATACTCTTGCGTGTGGGTGTCTGTTCCCTTTATCGTATCGCTCTGTATGTCGCCTTTACTCTTGTCAAGGTCTCTAATCCGTTGTATCAACATAGTCTTTTCCGTGGTCAGCATAAGTTCTTTTAGGGGGATTTGTATGACGTACTCTGATACTATCAAAATTGATAGCGAACTCATAGGCCGTTTCATCACATCCAGACATGATCTCCCAACTATCTCTTGTTCCCTGGAGATAAGTTTCTCTATCTTCGTTTTCAGCTGCAGGCCCAGACATAAACTGGATCAGCTCCGCAGAAGGTTTTTCTTTGGCAAGATTTGCGCCAAACTGGCATACAACCGCTTCGAGCCGCATCATTCTATCACGGGAAAGCTCGTCCACGATGACTTTTAGCTTTTCACGTCCGATCCGGAGGTCAAGGTGAGTTACAATTGCTTGCAGTGCAGGGACGGCGAGACGATAGATGCGTCCAGATCCGGATATTGAAATTGATGCGTCCCGCATCATTGTCCGTTATAAAGCGAGTTACCTAGCGAGTTGTTGACAGTAGGGAGATTGGAATTGATCTTGTTGAAGGTGTGTCTCTGACCTCAGAACTTGGGGGGTATCTCGTCCCTTTTATGTCTCGAAAACCCCCCTATCCCTCTGTCCTGTGCTATTCCGTTGTTGGCAAACCATGATAGTAGCGGCATGCAGGCGTCTCAAGCCCGGATGCAATCTAGTTCTAGCTTCGACTATTATCTAGGGGGGTACATTCCTGTTTGGTTTCCTATATTTTTATTACTAGCTGTTATTTTCTATTTTATTTTGGGCTATCATTGTCTGGGTATCAGGGGCCCTATGCGAGGCATGTGGCGTGGTAATTAGTCGCAATTCAATAAACCGTGTGAGCCATTCCAGATATCCAGCCTAGACAACTCGTTTCCCCAATATATAAGGGGTGCCCTTGGACGATATGCCTCCAAGGTACAACCCATCATTCATCCACTCCTGAGCTCAACGGCCGCGGCCCGCATGATAACGGAGAGATGGCAGACAGCACTTACCGGTTGTTCGAGCGCGATACCTGCCTCCAGCCAACCGGCCACTGCTTCTTCTCTATATTCCCTGAAAATCTGAAGACCGAACGGGTGAGCGTGGATTCATCGGCTCCTCCAGAAGAGACCGTGGCTTGGATGCTGATGGACCACGATGCCGTTACGGTAAGACAAGAATGGACAACACGGCGGATCTATACGGATAGGAAGCTCTGCGGGGTTCCAGAGTTGGTGTCGGTGATATTGATCCAGCAACCACGAAGGTCGGCGGTTATCGTTCCTCTTCTGAATCATAGGGATCCTGGATCTAGACCGGAGAAAACAGACGTTCTATACCTGTGAGTGGAAAGGGTCAAAGGTGTTACCAGCGAATATATGCCTAACTGATAACGATAATAGAGTTGTTGCGAGATCAGCGATAGGAAAGGACCCGGATATCGTGGGCATCAACATATCTCACCTCACTGATCTCATGAGGCTTGCCATCCACGTGATACAACATGGAGAGCTAAAATCCCATCTGTGCGATCTCTACACAAAGTTATCCGAAACACGCGCTGCTCGACTTATTATCGCAATGGTCCGAGGGTACCTCCGAATCAGGCGCTGTAGCACCCTCCAATTTGCTGCCATGCCGCGGGTATCGGAAGCAGCAGCTACAAGGAATGACGGCCCGCACCCGTGCGAAAAATGCTCTGAAATATTCGGTTCAGAGGAAACTCTTCGACAACATCATACCAGAGTTCACCACAAGGAATATTTTACTTGCAAAGTGTGTTTGAAACCCTTTGAATTTATGTGCTATCTTCGACGACATACCGAGGGGGTTCATGGAGACAAAAGATTCAAGTGCAGACAGTGCGATTCAAAGTTTTCGACCGCAGAAAGATGCCAGATCCATACCCAATACGCTCACGGCGCGAAAATATTTCCGTGCGACAGATGTGCTAAAAGTTATAGTTATGAGCCACAGCTTCGACGACATGTGAAGAGGGCTCACTCATAACGAGGCACCGTGCGAACTGTGTTCTGCGAAGCTCCCCGAATACGGCCTGAAGCGATATTATGCTACAAACCACGGCGGAGAGTATTGGTCAATCGAATACTCTGTCGTCTCATCTTGTTAACACACATAATGGCGAATCGCTAGAGATGACCTCCATATATCCTAGTGCCTATGCGGAGCGTTATCTGGAAAGGCCACTGAAGCGACAATATTCATGGCAGAACTCCAAGGAATACGGATGGCATTGGATCTGGTACTAGAATCAAACAGAACGGCCGTCATATTCACAGATAGCCAAGCTGCCATCAAGACAATAGGAACGCTAGGAACCATGGGCCAGCAATTTCTCACAGATATCCTCCGTATATGGGAACAAATCAAGAGCAACGGCCGGGATGTCGAAATTGCCTGGATACCCTCGCACGAGGGAGTCGAAGGTAATGAGTTTGCTGACCAAATGGCCAAGGAGGCCACAGGCTGGAGGATGGTGCGGAACAGACGTGGCAGAACAACCCAAACCGATACCGACGGCACAGCTACTAAACTGACGGGCCTCAGGGTACCACTGACTTGCCTTAAAAGGAGGACCATCTCTCATGCATACGAGAGGTGGGAGAAGGAATGGCGAGAGGACACTAGAGGGCGCGATCTCTACAAGCTGGCGGAAACACTATCTAGGGGAATCATAAGCCTACACGCGAAACTCTCCCGGCCCCTATCCTCTATCTTGACTCAAATGCGGACGGGAAAGATAGGGCTGCGTGATTAGCTACTCAGGATCAGAGTGCCAAGTGGAAGACGATGTCTGCCAGTGCCTGAAGGGGAGGGACGAGAAGGGTTCAGGCATTTTTATAACGGAGCAACTAATAATGGCCTGTGGAGGTTCTATTACTAGTGGTTATATAAGGGGGTTTTGCCCGTGTTATAAGTTTCTATGACGTAATGTAATGGCTGATTGAAGCGCTTCTGATATGATTAATCCCGAAATATCCGAAATAAGAGGCATGAATTCTACTCCGTGTAGTGGTGACACTAAGAGGTGTGGCTAATGGCTCGGGCCCGAGAAATCAACCCATTTTGGAGAATCGCACACTCAGGCGTGGGAAGGCCGACGACTTCGAGTACTCTATTAGGGGTGCCGGCCCAGTTTGGCTCGCGACCTCCAGCATCCACCCACTCAGTGATACTCTGCCCATCCTTGAAGTGGCCGCCGACATGCTCGTGTCTCTTTTCCATTGCTTCAAACCCCTCTTCCGCCACGGGACAGGTCTTTCTGCAGAAACCACACCAAAATCGACCCTGATAATCACCTCCTATATAGCAGTCACTGACATAGTCTTCCTCCGGTTCCGGTGCACACCCGTGATCACCCTTTAGATGTTGCCTGAATGTTTGGGCACGTTCAAACAGCTTGGCACAATCCTCCCCATTCTGATTGGCCACGGCGCACCGCCAGATCTCACGTGCGCAGTGTTGTTCCCTTTCGTGCTCGACCCAGGCGTTAATTACCAAACAGGCGAATGCAATCTTTGAAAGTGCAGCCATATATCCTCTCGGGATCGGGCCGAGTGATGCTCTCTATGCGGACAAGGCTGTGGGCCGTTAGCCTTACTTAAGCCTAGGACGCGAGGAGAGGGGATTCATACAAAAGTATATCCGAGTTTGGCGGTATTGACCCGGGAAATCCCCTAAAAATGTAAGTAGAATACCCCAAAGAGAAGAGTCTCCCATACATTTCACCGTATGCGCGGTCACTAGTTTAGATTAGCTGACAAGCCATACTTTAGCTCTAATGTGAACGAGACTTACCTAGAGACAATCAAGTCGCATAGCTCACCGAGTTTCATACACGAAACTCCCTCATCAAGCCCTAGGAGGAGAATACCACTGTCAGATACTACACTAGACCGCATGCCCCGAAGGTGAAAATACCGGAAATTATCGTTCCATCCCCAATACAAAATTCGTAAAAGCCTGAGTCTCCTGGGAGGATAACCCTATCGGGAGGTGAGTAACTATGAAAAATGTGCCGACAGGGGGAACTTACTCCTTTCCTTTAAAATCGTCCGCCCGATTTTTGTCATCGTAAAGATAGCACGAAGATTTGGCCCTGACCTTGTCGTTCTTAGTAGGGAAATCGCCACTACCCCGTTCAATAGTGAATTTTGTGACGCCCATGGCGAAGATTTGTAACTGTTTAATCTGATAAAACTGGTAACTGGTCAGAGGAAACTCAATTGGCAATGGACCAGGACAGCAGGAGATGCTGCCTTATATATATAGAACGACTCCCCCTGCCGCAGAATCTAGCCATAGACAATTGCAAGCTGGCATGCGGCCCATCCCTTGTCCGTACGCTCCGGCCATTTGCAGTATTCGCGGACGCAGATCGTGGCCTCGACCTCACGAGATGTTAAGGCGTAGGTGGTGCCAGCCTGAGTAAGTGGGCCCATGTAACAGCATAACTACTGTATGGAGAAGTACGGGGTCGGGGTCGTGGTGTAAGATACATAAACGGTTGGCGGAATGAAGAAGAGAAACAAGCTACTAATACAAAGCTCATCAAGGACCAGGGCCAAAAGAAAATCTACAGAAGCCAGCTTCTAGGACGGGCTCGGAACCTACTATCAATACATTGTTGATACGGATATCTAAGCGCCTCCAGGCGGGCAGCGGAAATGTGGCTTAAGAACCTTTACTTCATACGGCGTCTGAGCCCCCCATTGGGCAGCTTCCCCCAAAGGATCCCAAGCATCTAACCGCAGGGCAGCTACATGATACAACGTCGTGGAACCGCTTCGCGAGAGTATGGGCGTGGGCCAGCTGCTTTATTGACGATATAGATTACATGACAGACAAAGATGGTTGGCAGAAGGGCAAGAACCTAGAAACTATAGGACATTTTCCATATGAATTGCCGCCTCGAATAGTAGATGCTGTCAAAAAAGCTCTGCAGCTGGCTCTCAATAGATTCGTGCTTTGGATAACCGAGCCTACAGAGGAGGTGTCGATCTTGCGGGTAAACCACAGGTTGCGCGTGGCCTTGAAGCATTGCTATAAACAGCGTTGCGCCAGCCATCATGTCCTTATCCATCGTGTCCATATCGTATGAGTCGGGGGCCGATTCATCTCCTAGAGGAGAAAAACTGTACTCTTGTCAGCGGTCAGGTCCAGAGTTGTCAAATGTTCGATAGACATATACTATACCAAAGATACTTCTCCACACCGTCCCTGTGTTGGCTGGTTAGCGAAATCTTGGCCCGCTCTAGGTTCCGGTGCCAACTTACCGGCGTAATGGTACGAGGGCAACCGTTCCCAAAGTTACTAGGCGGAAGAACCGTCGGTCCTTAAGGTGTAGGTCTTGATAAGAAGTGATACCAGAGCTTATTTTGGCGCCACCACTGCCAAAAACAATCCACTTAACCCTGCACGGCTCCGTGGTAGTTTCAGCCCTCTTGTCTATGAACAAGACATAAACCTGCTCACACATGTCTTAGCTGCTGCCGTATAGAAGGTGTATCTGGAGTAAGAACACTCACGCTACCCTCTCCAGGGAGATATTTGGCTAAATTTCCGTGCAATGGGAGCGGCCTGACCAGCTGATATGCCTGAGGGTTGGTTGTTTGTGTAGAGAGATTAAGCTCTGGTGGAACCAAGTCCCAGTGATAGAGTGGTTCGTGTTGGAAGTCGCTGCCCAAGGAATTACCGTAGGCCGGGCCCATCCTGCCAGCAGACACTAAGGGTGATAAAGAAAAAGATCCTGCAGCGAGATGGTAAAAGAGTGGGCATGCAGCGATATTTAATCAAACCGCCAGCCCAGCCATACAGATATACAAACACACCACCCATCCTATATTATAAAGTTGCCTGCGTAATTTTAGAGTAAAGGGGAGAGGGTATACGGCTCTACACCTCTAGTGCCGGGATTTCTAGTGCCGGGATTTATTTTATTTGCAACTACTTGCAACGCCGCATGCCTAGCACCACTCCGATCCCCGGATGCATTCTGCAAAAGTACCGAGACAATTACAGCCCATAATGAAACAGGAAACTGAACAGGGGGCGGTTAACAGGTGGAACAGAGGCGCTGTGACGATGCGGAGGAATCCATATTTTAGCCAGTGGTCCGAGCTGATCTCGAACGCGATATGCCGATGGCGCATATGCGATCGCTGTGGCTTATAGGCAGCCCTGAACCGTCGGTCCCACAGCATCGTGCACGAGTGCCCCACGCCGGGGAGTGCCCTGGAATCTCCTTCTCTAGGGGGGCTGTCGTGGTCGGCCGCGGTTTCGGTCCCTGTTCGTCTGCTTGAAGCGTTTGCCAGATTTTGCTGATAATTGCAGGTTCATGGCAACGTGCCATATCTACTCTAGCTCTAGATTTAGATGATCATGTCTAGCCACATCTTCACGGGTCGGAATATAAAAGGCGATGGTATTTCTGGTCTCGTCCGTTCATCCTAAATTCCCATCCAAGAAGCCGTATAATTCACAGTAATTCAAAACACCCATTCCCCAGGGTTGCGCTTATGGGACGCGGAGCATACGACACCACCGGTGTGCCCAAACCCCAACCACCACCAAAGCAATGAGCCAGCCACCGACTTCAGGCCTTAAAGGAAGCCATGCCTCATCGCCCCGCCAGCTTCCAAGAAAGGGTGGGTTCCAGCGAGTCTGCTTCCGATTCACCTATGTGGATCTCAGACACAGACGATGCATCCGACACAGAAAACCCGGCGAAGACAATGCGTGTTGGCCTTGGGCGAATATTCGATGGCGTGGCACCGCAAAAGCTACCGGCTCCAGAAGACCTTCGCAAACTCTTCCTCAGGAACGAAATGAATCCACTTCCGAGGGAAAAGACGCCCAAGATAGACACAACTCGGCATATCGCCCGTCATATCGCCCGTGAGCGCTATGTCAACAACAGCTGTATCTGTCGAAAACGGGAGTGTAACGCAAGAGAGATGCTGATCCCGAAGTGTAGGGACACGCCGAGGACTGGGCCTGGACGCAGCATTCGGTGTGGTGGATGGCCAAAGGGCCAAAGGGCCGAAGGGCCGGTGGAACATACGTGAATCTGTCACTTGTTTTTTCGAGATGTAGAATAGATCCTGGCAGCTTTGTACCGTGTTGGGTTGGAATGCTTGTATAATGTATAATACGTGAGCGTGGATATAGGTTGAGTAGAGAAACTGGGAGCTGATAACTCTGCTGGAGGACATAAAAAGATGAAGAAACATTTAGGGACCACTGGAGTATTTAGCCGCCCGGAAGTTAAACATGTGAGTCATGCAGATCGGCCCATCAGTATTACATAACACAAAGTGAGGCGCATCAAAAACCTTCAGCGAGGGACATGCATCTTTACAGAATGGCCAGCGACGAACGAGAAGGTTAAAGACAAGCAAGCAATAAGAACGCCTCCAGGTTAGAGGTTGCCCGCCGACCCCTCCCAGCGGTTATACACCCTCACCCACGAAACATGAGTGTTATGCTTCACCCCATACCTGGAAACATCCTGAATGCACCTCGTCCACTTCTCTTTATGGCAAGGGACACTCTCCGCAAGCATCATCAGTGTAGTGAACACCTTATGAAGGTGGGCTTCTAAGTGGCCTTGTGTATGTGGAAGGCTGACCTCGAGCAGCTTTAGACATGGCTCTATTCCAGCCTGCCATACTTTGTCTGGTAGCTGGTGATCTTCTGGCCAACCCCGCAAGCCGGCGGGGACTTCAGGGTGCTGTGCAAAAACCAAGATATCGATACACCAACTGATAAGAGCGTGATGTGTGTGGATGACCGTCGTGTAGTACTGTTGCGTCTTATTAGCTTCTTCCACTTCGGCAAGAAGCGCACACGCTCCTTCCGCTTGACGGAGTTTTGTAACCAGCCAGTCATGTTCCTTTTCAAAGGCTTCTACCGAGAGGCGCCTGCTCCCTACCTCGTCAGTGATACCTGTGACGGGCTGACAGAATTGTTGCGAATTTTTCCAATGCTTATAAACAGTCCAATCAAAGACTCCGTCGCGTGAGAACTCCTTCTCGCTAAAGGCGGTACGGAAGAGCTCGCGAAGATGATTGTAGTCGGGTTCGCTATTCTGGCTGGGAGATTCCACATACTCCAGGCAGTCCTTGAACGCACGAGGTAACCCTCTGCAGAGAACTTCCGCCCGCGTGTTCTCCATTTGCTGGAGAATGTCTTTGTACGGTGTCTTTGTAAGGTCGGTCTGGAGACCCTCCCACGGCGCTAGTCTGCGGCACATGTAGATACACATGAGAACGAGCGCCTCGAGGTCGGAATAACGCTGCGTGAGTTCCGTGGTCGGTGTCAACGCGGCTACCTCAACAAGCATGACTTGACCCGAGGCCTTCCCAACGCCCAAGCCAAATGCACTGGGCCGTATCCCCCCGTGAATGAGACCCCGGGAATGTATGGCCTCGACACGATGGATGAGCTGCTCGCCAAGGAGTAGAACGGTCTTTAAGGAGAATTTCCCCTCGCAAAATTCCAAGAAGTCATCCAAGCTAGGACCGGGCATGCAGACGACAATGAATCTGTACCCCTCCTGGATGCCGCGGCCCTGGACAAGTGGAACCCCAATATGTCCAGCAAGGGATTCAAGGATGTCGGCCTCGCGCTCGAGGGACGGCGCTTCCAAACCGCAGCACTCCAGCTTGACCATCACCCAGCGGTCCTCGCCCGATAGAACCCGCTCAGCATCTTGGATTTGGCGCTCACCGAGGTAGGCGCCGTCTCTCAATGCCCTTACGAGTTTATACCGGCCGTCAATCGTTTGCTAGAGCAAAGTTAGTCGAGTTCACAAGAGTTTCAACAGGTAGCCATACCAGTGGGAGAGCCATTGCGTCTTGTCGGCATCCGATTTGCACTCGATTATAGGTGAGAGGCTGGGGGTGATCCAAGGGGTTGTCTGCGAAGCTTGCATTGTGGCCTGAAGGATAGAGAGGATGGGATTTCATTTAGGTTTATATGTCCTGCCTGTATTTAGCTCTGTAGAAAGGAAGGATAGCTAGTGAACGGCAACGTCGAAGTCAACCCATAAAGAAACGTATTTGCAAAACGACAGTAACGCTCAGGCTATGCCAATCATGTTATCCCCTCCCATTTCGACCTTTGGGCAATACGACAACCCACAGCTGCCAGAATTTGAAAATACAACAGCCCTTCAGCTCCATAGAAACGCGGTCAAGGGAAGCCTGTCGTAGGCGCCGAATATCTTCCTTGTATCTGGGATCCCATTCGGCAACAGCGTCTGCCAGGTTGGAGTTCCACTGGATCTCCTTGATGGAATACTTCTCCCTCTCCCCCAAACCTTCAAACGAGAAAGTCGCTTCGTGTAGATCCGCCGGACATGGCCGGTCACACTGCACAACTTTCGCTGCTAGATACGTTAGATATCACTGCTTTGGAAAAACGAAAGCGCGACGTACCTTGGGTATTACACCTTAGACAAACGGAGCGTAGAAAGTTAACGACCTTTTTCCGAATCTGCTGTAGGTCCCACATGCCGTCGGGAACATCAACCAGACTAGGCGGTGGAGCTGGTGGACATTGCGGATCTCCAGTGGTATTTTGGGATACATCTTGCGCCGATTTCTCAATATCGTAGTCCTCCTGCCAGAGCGCCGTGTTGGCCGTCGACGTAGTGTCTTGTTTCGTGAGGGTCACCTCATCCGAGGTAAAGGCCGACGGCTGCTTCCGAACGGGTAAGAAAGAGCGCCGAAACCCCTGCAGCCAGGACAAAACTCGAGATTCGAGCATTTTTAAGAAAGTTAAACGGTTGTAAATTCCGTCAAGTGTAATCAGAAGGGTCCAGAGATGGTTCGCATAAGGCAGAAAGGCGTCCATGCCCAAGGGCGGTGAGCTTGCTTTATAGATCGCATTAGTATATGATTGCGGAATGTCGGAACGGACTTTAGGTCTAGCCACTTCGTGTGCTAGCTGCCGTTTCGTCAATAATCTGCACAGGTCACATTGAAGCACGAACCGGGGCGATCAGGACTAAGGATTCCATGCGATAAAACAAGTTTTCGAGCCGAGCGGCGGCCCGCACCCGGCTCGCTGCCCGCTAGACCTAAGGAGGAACGAACTACGTCCATGGACGTGGTTCCTCTTTAGGTCTAGCGCCGTTAACTGTAAGCAACAGGACTCTGGAGAGTCAAGATTGTCGCTGCCTGGAATACGTTTATCATATCCATCACTGAATATCTGCCCAATACATGTCTACTATGATTTCGAGTCAGCCACACAGACTCTTTAATTTTGAGGGGGACGATGCTGAATATTGCAAATTCCTTGAACAAAAGCTTCTTCGAGTTCAACAGTTGTATCCCGTCACCGGTCTTTCGACAACGCTCGCGGGGCAGATTTACCCAGCCAACAGCGAGGTCCCGGCGATTGAACCATCTTTGGCTTCTGAGGCCTCGCATAATCTCGCGAACAGTACCGCAAACAATACTAGTATATACCCAGTAGCTAACAGCGCTACCCCGACAGTTGAACTATCTTTGCTCTCTAGATCCTCTCATCCCACAAACAGTCCCGTTCATACGGCAAATCATAATGGCACCCGAGAAGAGTCTACGCTGGAAATCATTCCTTACAAACCTGAACCTACCTCCTCTGGCACGATACGGACTCGCAGGAGCAGATGGAGTATAGAAGTCGATAACTTTCTCTCCAATATTCCAAAAGATTGGAGCGCGCTGCAAGCCATTACTCGGGAGGAGGTGTACCGTCTGCTACTTAACTGCGAAATTCACTTTCATAACGGAAAGAATGTTCCCGCGAACAACAGTATCGATGTTCCTACCGGGCTTGATCCGTTGGCTACACACTGTTATAAATATGCCTTGAATACCTCTATTGCGCTCGAGCAACACTTCGCTTATGGGAGTATATTAGGCCTTCGTGTCATTATCGTGGGCTTGATGTGCTCGGTGATGCGAAAGCGCGGAGCATCAGTTAAGGCGGTTAACCCGATACTGAAAGCCTGCTTGCCCAGGTCCGAAAAGATACAGGATAGAACTCTGATGGAAATTCGAGCAGCCGCAAGGTGGGCCAATATACTTGTGTTGCAACTTGCTAAGAGAGGATGGGGAAACAGAAGTGCAGAAATCTTTTTTCGGTGTAAGTCTCCGTCGAGTAAGTGTTGGCAGCGGCTAGTTAACGATAGATAGTTGGGCGAAGCATCTACCAGAATATGCATATGTGCAAGAACGCGGAGAGCAGAGAAGTATTGATGGCGGCACTCGACAGACAAAAGAAACCCGTCCCACAATTAAGCGAAGATCAGATGCAGGTCTCCTTTCCTTGCATATTGGGTGTTCTTGGGAAAGACTTTATCACGTACGTCCCGGCCTTCGCTCTATAGATGTTTGACTGACATCAGTTTAGGCTGAAGGATATCTGTGAGGAGCTCTCCTGTGAAACGCCTTCTGGTGAAAAGCTTTCTTATAATTATGAACACACTGTTCAAACCTACAAGCGGCTCTATACTCCCTGTTCAGACGACGAGACAGCTTATCCCAGTCCGCCACCGATAAACCTCAGCGATGATGATAGTGGAGAGGTTGAAAGTGTTGCAGAGGCCCAGAGTCCATTCACGCCACCATCAGGCCGGTCTGAAGGCGATCTCAGTGACTATGGACCTCACCCCGAAGGCGACTCGAATGATAGTGAGACCGACCCCGCGCCTCCCCCCCAAACGAACCAGGGGACCGATACTTTTCAGGTGCTTGTGGAAGCTGCAGAGGCCTGCGCGAAACAGACGAACAAGCGACCCTACCCGGCAGACATTGGTAGCCAGTGCCGAGATTCGCAGCGAAGGAGATTGAGCGAGCAGACGGAAGGTAATGGACTCGCCGGCTTCTACTCGGAGATTACGCTAACTTCTACATAGGCGATAACTCTTCTACCAGCAGCATTCCCTCACCCCGACCTGGTGAGGCAGGATCCAAGAGCAACAGGAATCTTTCCCAAGATTCATCATACTCGGCCGCTGAAGTGGCGTCTGAACCCAGGCAGCAGCTGTTTCCAGAGAATGATGCCAGGCGATCTCCCAGAGCAAATAATACTACCTTGTCGAACGCGGCGCAACAGCCTACGGGGACGCCATTTCAGTTGGATCCAAATTTTACGATCGACCCCGCGTCCTTGGATAAATCGGCACCATATCAGTCACCTCAGAGAAGGATAAGTATGTTATATAAAGAAATATCTCGTATAAATACTAACAGCATATAGTTCGAACACATACAAATACAGCTACAAGTATAGAATATGATCCATTTGCTGGTGCGGATTCTCGCATCCCACCAGTCTTTCAGAACATGGTCGATACAAGTCGCCAGGAACATACGGGTATATTTGATGTTGATACGGAAGGCTTTTCGATGCTACTGCGTAATGTTGACATAGAAAACTTCTCGATGCTACTAGGTGATGTTGACATAGAGGAGTTTTCGATGCTACCGGGTAATGTTGATACAGAAGGGTCCAGACAGAGTTGATATGCCTCTCTTCATTTCTTTACCGGCTCGGCGACACGAATCAGAAGGAAATCCAACGCCCCATCGATGTAAATCTCATCTTGATATTTCACAAACATACCAACATGGAGGTTTTCGCAGGTTGAGTATGGCGTTTCCGGATAAGCGGAAAGCACTTTCGACTCGATTGGTATACGAAGTGGATATAAATATGATATCAGAATACGTTTTCCGTGAATTCGCTTCGGAATATCATCTTCCATACGAAATAGAAGTATTTGAGCCATATGTTTATGGTCCTAATGATAAAGTCAGATTAATTCAACGAAGGGGGTGTAGCTTCGGTATACCAATTTCTGAATCAACTCTTTAAATTCCTTATGATTAAGTACGGCTTCGTTCTCCAAGGGGTTGGCTTGTTCGAACTCTTTAGTAGAAATCAGCCATTCTTGTCGAGCATCGATGAGTTTCTTTAGTTCCTGTGACAGGTGACCGATTTCGATTTGGTTTTCCTGTACTGAAATTGAGTATTGGGAATATCTGATTATCATGGCGGGGTTTCCTTACATCGGTACCGGCGTTGTGCTCGCTCTCTGATTGACCTGCCATATCTTAACTAGCGCGTTGTGCCTCAAATATCGTAATACACGCCAGCCAGGAGCATTTATATCTGAATCGTGGCTTTGGAGAGAAAATCTTTTCTTTGGAAGCAAACATCTCAGGCTACCCCGCTACGTCATGGCGGGGCGATAGCAGCATGTGGCCATATGACCGATGAGGAAGAACAAGGTTTGTATTTGGATGTTTCTCACCTCACAAATTCCTTCTACGTCTAACGCATCAATACCTAACATATTTCTGCCTTTTCATCGGCCGATATGTATTCTCGATGCAATAACTAGCCTATCTACATCATTTACCCCCTGGTACTTGGAAGCGAATCTGTCTGCTGCGGGTCAGCCGCGTCGCCCCTTATCGGGCGGGAGGCGGTCGTGTTTTGAACTCGTCCAATTGAGATTTGCAGACCCAAGTATGCACGAGCCGGCAAGGCACCATATAGAACAGATATACGTCTCAGATGGGCGATGAGCTCAATCTATCCATCAGCCCTTGCGCCTATGAGGATATAGCTGGGGGCATTGGTACCTTAAGATATAAGTCGCGCTGCAGTGTCCACCCGAGATGGATCCCCACTCCCATTTTCACCATTGATACTCTCGATACATACAAGTTGCTTGTCTCCATGCTGCCCCTGCTCCGTCCTCCGAAATACTTCTCCTCTGACCGCCACAGATGTGACCAAGAAGATACACTCTCCACTACGTCTGAGGCGTCTACGCTGGTCGACAATACTGAGACTATCCAAACACTTCTGACAGATCAGCCCTTTGTCCCGTACAAGGATCCCGCAGACCCACACGATAATGTGGTGATTCGATCCGCGCCATTTCGTAAATTCCTTGAGAAACGAAATCATATGGGATTCGTTGCCAGCGTTCCGTGGCTAGCCACAGCTCTAGCAGATCACGAGCCTTATTGGCCAGGCGCTTTTACCGTACTACAGCTCATCTGTGAGCAAAGAGTTATGACGGTAGCTGATGAAAAATTGGAGCGAGATAAAGAAACACAAAGGAGCTATGGCCGATCTCTTATTGCCAGCAGCCTAGAGAGGGAAGGGAAAATACGGCTGGATCATAAGAACCAAATCACCGGCCAAGGAAAATTCTATGGTTGTCGACTTGAGCGTGCTTATATGCCTCGTGAAGACATATCTTACGAAGGCAAAACGAACGGATATGGGCTCGACTTCATGGTCCACAAAAACGGTGGTTTCAGAATACAGGTATACCCATCCGAGGCGGAAATACATCAGCCAGAGAGGCGAGGTATCCATCTATATGCCTCTAGGCTTAGGACCGGAGCAGGAGACTATGCAAGGGAAAGATGTTACCGCTGCGTGTGTGATCAGGAGTGCGGAAAAGAAAATATTCCACCATCGCCACAATACAGCACCCCTGATGAGGGAACGAATCTCGGAGGATCTGTTCGTCCACAAGGAAAGAAGAGATCGGGCGCTATCAGCTATGACGGCGGGAGGAAGCGTCCAAGTTTATAGATATGGCATAAGTGGGAGAGGCGTCCGAAAGTATAAACCTCGATTGTATTTCTAGCTCTAGTATCCAAGAAGACAAACCTTTAAACTTCACCAGACCGTGTGTAGGTTTACTACTGAGCTTTTGTGGAGGCCTGAGTAATTAGCAGACTCACGGCCTCTACGCCTAAGGTCAGCTATATAAGGCCCGCTCATAGGGACTTTTATTACGGGCCACTCGGCACCATTTCCAATTATCCCATTTTCTCAATTCGCAATGTATCCCACAAGACTGTCAATCTCTCAGTCCGTATATGGCCCTCCGTTCCTTGCAATAAGAGCAATTCTCTCTGATTTTGCAACCCAAATTTCATGTGAAGAGCTCAAGGATATTCTCAAAGAACTACCCCAGGGGACGGATTCTGTACTAAAGGCAGTTGTGTGGCAGATTGACTCAAACCCGTTTCTAATTGAGCCCCCCGAAAAACTTAGTGATTTTATAAAGTCGGTGGCTACGAAAGCAAGTGAAACGCAATGTGATAAAGAAGAGATAGAACATCTTATCAACGATGCATGGAAAACATGGAAATCCATATCTGAGAAAGAAGTCGAAGAAGCCGAGCCTGGATCTAGAGAGACAAAAGAAGTATTCATCTCAAAACTACAAAATATCTTTGTAAGTTATTAAGAGAATCTTGAAGATCCTCAAGCTAACTATTGTAATAGGAAACCATGAGAGTGCTTTACCCCTTAATAATAGAAAGACGAGAATGGGAAAACAAGCTGGGCAAGCTTAATCCAAACTTCGAGAAAAACCTCGATAAAGTTAAGAACACGATTAAAGGTATGCTTTCACAGAGCTACATGCGATCCTTCCAGGGCATTCAAAGGCCCTCACTAACATGTAAGTTCTAGAAATTCTTAGTGAGGGAGCTGGGGGAGGTTCGTCTAGAGAGAATGAAGAGCCGTCAAATGAGATACTGGATAGGCTGGGGGAAGTTGAACGATGTAACCTGCAGCAAAAGAGGCCAAGCCCTTGTCCTGAAGGCGGGAGTAGTAATAAGCGTAAGAGAAGGAAGACTACGCCACCAGTGTAAACTGAGCATGTTTATCTTGACGTTCCTCCGAGATGTGTGGAGTCCACGTGATCTCCATACCGTTAGGTACACATGGTTGGGTCATTGCGGGAGGAAATAACTTTGGTCCGCTTAGAAGCTGAGCCGCATATGCACGTGATCACAACAATACAATCACCTCAATCCTAATTCGGTATTAGCATACTTTATGCAGTCCAAATGAATTTGCCTTTATCAACCCCCGATAAGAATAGCAAAAGGAAAATGGGCGTACCTTACCCAATAATGCCAATGCCTGCCATCCGTATACACTTGAGATGAACTTTTCCGTCCCATCCTCGACTGGCTAGGCTCATCGTAGGTCAGGGCCAGAGATATTACTCTATATAAGAACCGGCTCTCCCTGTATTTCACCCAGCTATCATCGTACCGCTTAAATCGTTATCACCTTCCTGAAAACGTCACTTAACAACCAGTTTGGGCATTTGCCTTTACATGAACTTTACGCTGGTTAACGACTTATTCTCCAGTTCCGGCGAGACATTATAATTCTGTGCATTGCTCCATATGTTGTTACCGGCAAGGCGGATATTTCAAAGACATTAGGAGAGCCTGGAGATTATTTATCACAGAGTGGGCAAGCACCAGCGAAGGATCAAGTCTCCAGCTACCCGTTATGTCGCTCCAGCGTGCCCAAGGCTCTCTCATAGGGGAAAACCGCATCAAAAAGCAGTCCAAGTGGTCACCAGAGGAAAATGCGCTGCTCATTGAACTTCGAGGCAAAGGGATAAAGTGGGAAGACATTAGCAAGAGACTTAAAAACAGAAGTCCAATAAGCTGCCGTCTCCATTATCAGAATTATCTCGAGAGAAAGTGCGAATGGGACGAAGATAAAAAAAATAAGCTTGCCGGGCTATATGAGAGGTAGTTCCCTTAGTCCAAAACTAATCTTGGCTCACACTGTATACATACTAACTGAACATAGATTTAAAGAAGTAATGTGGAAGAAAGTTGCTGAGGAGATGGAGATTCCGTGGCGAGCTGCTGAAGCTATGCACTGGCATATCGGTCAGCACGAGATGGCTAAGCGAACAGGCACCACCCTATTCACATTTTCCAATATCGCAACACCCCCTCGGGCCATTCAGCTAACCACAGGATCATCACGGCGTGACCGTCCTCAACTGCCATCCCTTGCTGAACTCACAGCAGGTATTCCAGTATACGCAACACCCTCCTGCACCCCCACACTTTCCTTTATGAGTAGCGAGAGAAATACAGGAGCGCGAACCTAAGAAGGATGCGGTGGAAAGAGAATTGGTGCAAAGTGCGGGCGCAGGAGAAGGCGGGCTTGGCGCTTATCCAGCACTATCTAGAGCGAGTTCGGCGGGAGGCGGGCGTACCTTTCTCCCAGGAGAAGCGTCGATATGTAAAATATATTCCATTTACTAAAGCATCCTATACCTTTTGTCCAGCTTTAGGAGATCCTTGTGAATTTTTCTTGATAAATCGTAGCCGAGTTTAGCCTTTAGCTCTCCCGGTAGTAAAAATTAATAGGGGAAAGGCGAAGAGGATCCATGGGTAAAAAGTGAAAGGAAAACGCCTGTGAGGGAGGATGAAAAGCCTGTTTCCTAGTTAGTTATCGCCCTTAATCCAAAATCGGTGGTCAGCGCGCTGATAGCCAGTTTGGAGAACACGGACTAACAATTATCCGGCATTCCTGTTTCACTGATAGAGGGGAAGAATCCATGGGTGGGGACTGTTGTTATTTTGTCGAATTATCGGTCTAGAATATTAACGGGCGAGATGTGTGTACATCGAAATCCTCCCTGATTAACAGACATAATGTCCGTGGCATACGCGCTTGCTACCGTGGACGGCGCTCACGTTGGCCGTACATATATCGAGAGAGTATCCACATTTTCTCCCGCGAATTCGATCGAGTTAAGGAGCCAGGTCTCTAAAAGATACGTACGGCTGGCTTTCGCATATTATTGGTGGCTTTTACCCCATAGATCTCAGCCAACCCATGTGCCCTCGTTGGAAATTTCCAAGAAGACCCATGTAAGCACGTGACTGATAGCACCCTTGTTAGTCTGCACCTTTGTTGTGTTAAGCACCCTCATTGCTCCAGCGCTACAGAGCGTGAGTGAGTCCATTGATGTGCGAGATTGATGGCTTCCGATAATACGCTAGATTATAAGGCTCTTTTTCTACAGGCCGAGGAGCAACGACGACAGGCCGAGGAGCGAGCAACGCAGGCCGAAGAACAGCAGCGACAGGCAGAAGAACAGCAGCGACAGGCAGAAGAACAGCAGCGACAGGCGGATGAGAGAGCAACAAGGGCGGAAGAGCGCAACCAGCGTACATCGTTCGAGGAGTTCATCCGAGCCTGCCATAACCTGCTCTCTCTGCCCACAAAGGTCCAAGAGAGCGCCCTCTCCACGAAAGGGTCAATCGGAAAGCCGACTGGCAAGTTGTGCCCGACCTACCTTCGCCCCTGGCTAGCCTGTTCGGGGATTCAGGATGAATTCTACCGCCGTGTCTGCGACTATTTTCAGTCAACCGACAAGCTGTTTCCTCCCATTATTGCACTTGAAGATATTGTACGGAGATGTCGCCGGCCATTAAGCAGTGAAAAGGATGTGGAGTTTTATGAGCGGCTGGCGGTGGAACAACACGTCCAGGATGTGATCGCAGAGCTGTGCAAGAGCCAGGAGGCTCGAAACGACTTTGCTCTTGGAGAGGGAGTCACGTTTGAAAATCACGCGAATACTATTGATAACGATGACGACGCCAATGCCCTTAACCGACAAAACACGCGACGCTCTATACTAGATCAGTTCTGCGTTCATCGTGTAGACGATGGCATGTATACACTACTCACCACCGTCGAGTACAAACCGCCTCACAAGCTGCCAGTAGAACATCTCCGTGTCGGTCTCCGGGAGATGAACCTCTGGGAGGAGGTGGTCCAGCGGGACACGATTCCAACGGAGGAAAATGCAAAGTTAATATACAACGCGGAACAGATAACAGCATCTACTCTGGTTCAGGAATACCATGTAATGATTAACGAAGGACTCGAATATTCATACGTTACGAATGGATTGGCCTATGTTTTGCTTTGCGTGCAGCGCGATGATCCAAACACGCTTTACTACCACCTCTGCGAACCCAACATGGAGGTTGATCTGGGGAACGCACGGATCTTGTAACCGAAGACCGCTGTTGCTCGGGTACTCTGTCTCTGCCTGATGAGCTGCTGCTCGCCACCCCGGGATCAATGCTGGAGAAACGATGCAAGGCAACAGCTATATGTATGGGAAATAAGTCTTGACTACGAGAGGGCGCGCATACCAGAAGAGGAGCTCCAAAAAACCCCTCCCGGCTCGGAACATGTGCTATCCTCTCCTCCTCTGAGCTCTCTAACCGCGGACGACCACCGGCCCGTTACTCGATCCTAGGCTGGCTGCGCGCCTTGAAGCATAACCGCACACCGTTCAGAGCCCATGGACTCCGACTCCGACTCCTAGCGGGCGGCTCCCGGACGGAAGCGAAACTTGAGCGAGCTAACAGCGTCGCTACCCGGCCAACGACTGTGGCGCCAGAGGGAAGGTAGAGGGAGCCAGGGAGGCTACAAGCACACCACGGCATTTTGCACGCAAAAATGCTTACTCGGGCTTCGGCGGGGAGATACCCTGGATAGAGGATGCCCAAATGTGGAGGAGCATAGATCAACGGATGGCGGCGACAAGCACCCTATCGATGCGGAGCGGCTGGTGGGCCTCATCAAGCAACAGCTGGATGAGGACCTGGACCGGGACTGCACGCCGTTTGGCACCTGTGGCTCGTATGGGGCGCCGTTCAGAATCACCTGTCGCCAGTATGGCTACACGGTAGTCGGGAAGGGTACGACGCGCCTCCGCTGGGATGGGGTGCGACGTGAAGCGGAGGTCTATCGCGTCCTTCAGGGGGTCCAGGGCTCCGCGGTTCCTGTGTTCCTCGGGTGCATCGACATGAAGATGATATACCACCTCCATGGCGCGGGATCCATCCAGCACATGCTGCTCATGGGATGGGGTGGAGAGGACACCAGTAGAATGGAGCAGTCTCGAGAGTTATGCGATGAGGTTGAGCGGTCGAAGAAGCAGATCTGCGCCATGGGGGTAGATCATCTGGACTTACGGCCTAATAACATACTGTGGAATGAAGAGTTAGGGCGGGCCTTAATAATTGACTTCCACCGTTCCAGGCTGATCGCCCGCGTAAGAAATAGAAAATCCGCGAAGCGTTCGGCGGCCGCTAGTGGACTAGAGGACGAAGGGCAGAAAAAGAGAGGAAAGAGGGCCAGAGTTACAGAGCTTCCCAAAATAGCCTTCCACATCAAATACTCTGATCAACTCTTAATCCTCTTGGCAAAAGTCTAATATATACACTAATCTGTATTTGGTTAGAAAAGTAAAATATTGTTTATTTCCTGACAGTACAGAGGTTGTGACAAAATGTATTGTTTTGTATGTTCAGTTCAGAAGATGCTCGAAGGTTCGATTAAACTTACTAAGTAGGAGGTGAATTGGGGTCTTTCTAATTATCTTACTCTCTGCAGCTTCAATACTACAAGAGCGCTACGCTTTATTCACGACATCCGGATCAGAAAGCAGGGTATTAAAGTAATACGGTATTTGAGACCGCTAGTTAGGCGGTGGTTTTCCCTGCCGATACTTTATTGAGTGCCATGGCTAACGGGGCATTAGTCAGTAAGACTGACAGAGGTGGCATCTAGGAAATGAGTGACTGGAATGCCTCTCAGATTCAACCACTTGATTCATGGTACCAAAACGTCCCAACCCCCGGTTTCTTCAGCCCTGAATCTGCATCCTCCGTACGTTCTTCACCCAATAATGAGCGTGAACCTGGTCATTTAGGGTTCGACCTAAATGATGAACAACCAGCGTTCTCTCTTTGCTACTCTATCGAGTGGCGGGTTACTGTCAACAACCGCTCTCTGGCGAAGGATACAGAACCGGATGTAGCCCTACCCCCCGGTTCATATTGGGAGCAGTTTTTAAAACAAAAGCCCGACAATATAATACATCAAAAAATATCTCGTAACCGGCGGGTTAGATCGGATGATACCACGGTCGTAGTATCTGTAAATGATCGTTCCCAGCGCGATTTCACAAAGCGGTTTGAGAGCGATAATATTGACTGGACAGCCATAGAGAAACAGCTCCTCTTGTGGGAGAATCTGTTCCGGCTGGGCAAGAAATTGAGACTCAATATCACCTTTAGCTACATAGACGACAGTCGTGAGATTTCATCGAAAAGAGGGGACAAAAGAGGTCCTACATCGGTAACTCAGAGAATGCTTGCTGACCAAGAAGCTGAGATTGATGCTGAGTGTATTTCCGGGCGACCTTCAGCTTGGCGGGATGTATATAAGTTGATGCGTTGTCCGGGACCTTCATGTCATCAAGGGCGCTACTGCTGGCAGGATCCCCATGGAAAGAAGCATTACAAGCTCACAACGCGTCACCTAACAGCCCTTGTTAAGTATGTGGAGAATGGCGGCACCCTAGTGACTCACGACGATGTCCCAGATCAGATCCGTCAGCAGTTATATCAAGAGCAACAAAGATTTGAAAAGGGTCAATCAAAGGGTAGCAGCCCAGCTACATCCAATCCTCCCTGCCCTATAAATATCAATCTCGTACCTACCCACGCTCCTCAAATTTCCACATTAGCAGCTCCTCAAACGGCGGTCATGGCTCCTTACAATGCAAATACCCAGTACCTTAATTGCCCCGAAATTTATGGCCCTCGGGATGATGCACTGAGAGCATACAGCAAATGGCAGGAATCCAATGTCACCAGCAACGAGTATAAGGTAGAATTTCAAAAGGCATGTGAGGTGGCGCTGGAACACTGTCTTGATCTCGAGCAGATCTTTCTCAACCAAAACCATACGTTCTTTGTCGAAAAGGGCATCAAGATGGGTATTGCCTGGCGTTTTGTCGGCGACATTCCGAAATGGGCTGAGCAACAGGGGGAACTTCTAGACCACTGAAGAGATTTTTATTGTGCTACACAGTTGAGGATTGTCACTGTACAATACACTGTACTCTATTAAGGTTGATATTCATACTCTTCATTCAGGTTCTGGGCGCCGGAGACAGTATATGGTACTACCAGAGTCAAAACTGGTTTGGAATTTAACGGGGAAACTAATTTTTCGGTATTTTGATCGTCTTGTATGGAGTACTTTCGCCCTAAAAGACCGTACAGCAACGTATCGGTGATACAATGCACCAGAAGCCCCGATGTTGTCCAAGCCTTCCTCGCCCGCGCTCATTAGGTTGGCTGGAAATCTATCCCAGTTTTAACGAAGATACATAGCTCTTTTGGGTGGGCAAACATTCAGGTACTGTATATGTTTACACACTATCCTGTTATCTGCCACATTCCCCCATAAGCCGCGCATTAAATTATCAATACAACAGAATAGATCCCGAGATCACCTATCCCATTCATACATCCCATATATGTCCAGCATCCTAGACAGTTCTCAAATACCATTCAAAGAGTCATCCGCTGCATTATCCTCTTCGACCTCATCGTAGGAGTCATATTCTTCCTCGAAGCAATCTTCCACAAAGCGAACTTCCTCACCCTCACTGGAGGTATCGAAGTCGCTAAAACCAAACCCACGGTGGAAAGGGCGAGCTTCGGTGGCTGATACCTGCGGTTCGGGCAGTAGATCCAATAAAGCTGACATGTCAAATGCTCCACCACCGAAGTAATTACGATTATGCGTTTTGAAAGTGGGCAAAATGATGTCCTCGTACCAGTGATCAGTCTCAAGTAAATCCGCCCATTCCCAATGTCCAACAATCTCCTCTTTCGCAACTTCCCATAAACAGACGTAGTGATTTTTGTAATATTCATTGGATTTGCCGTATGGGTCGGGTACTCCATAGAAACGCATTTCTTTATCCATGTTGAGAATGGGAAGGCCGTTCTTCGCCCTAACGTTTGGATTCAAAGCAGTGATTGTCTGACTCCCTCTCTTCTGTGCTCTCCTTTTGGCATTTTCTTGGAGCTCATCCGGGGATTGCGTGAATGAAATAAAGGGAGTAGGATCCCATCTTTTATGATCAGCGTGTATAGCCAGAAATTTTTCCCGAGTTGTTGCAGTATCTAGTCGTTCACGAGGAGATCTTGAAAACATCCTCCCCATCGCGTCGGGTTGGCTACCTGACCGGCTATCCCACGTTCTTAGCAGCGGCTGGCTCGGGTCAGCGGAAATTTCCAGAGCCCATGGGTGCGCACTGTCTTCAGCCTGGAACGGGGATCGTAGAAGGCTTCGCACGATGGCTTGAGTGAGAGGTTTGTCGTTAGCCATTTGGGGCGAGCTGAGTTCCAGATTGGTATCCACCCTAGATCAAGATGGTGGGTTTAGGGTGACAGTTTCGATCGCAAAGACTTAAAAAGCGGGGTACTCCCGGTCGAGTATCCGTTCGGCATGACGTTGTTCCTGCCCGCCAATTAAAACTACGTGCTAACCCGACGTAATTCATCAGGCCACTCGCCTTCGCCGTACCAGCTCTATAATATGGCTTTGCATCGGCATCAGTCATCTTTAGAAAGGGTATTGGACTTCTCCACACCCTTTTCACTAAATTCCCAACAGCATCAAAGAGCAACAACACTTCTCAGGAGCCTCGTCCAGCTCTACGGCGTCGAGCAGACTATCCGCCACGGCTTTAAACCGGCGTCGCTTATCCAGTTCACATTCGAACATATTAAAGCTCAAGATGCATTCCTCTCATTCTATTTCTCATTCCTTTATGAGAACCTATGCCCAGGTGTAACGGATTTGACGGAGCCAGAAATTACGGTTGCCTTGTCGTTCTTCGACGATTTTTCTACCTGGGATCAGAATCAAAAGGAGGACGTCAATGGTGCTTCTGAAAAATTTGCTGAATACATTGTCGAGAATTTTCTTCTCCCACGTATGTCCCCATACTTCCTGATCAGCAGAATCACAAATTAATTCGGCATTTTCAGTCAGAGCTTCGTCAGTGAAGACCCCACAACCAACCCCCTCGTCACTGTCCTCGATACAGCCATCCACGCCTACCGGCACGACGCAACGTGTATCTATCCTGCGACAAAATTGTCTCGTGCGTGATCGCCATCGATGCGTAGTTTCTCGGAAGTTTGATAAAAGCGAAGCCAGCAGGCGGTGGAAGCAGGATGGTGATGATTTTAAGGATGATGACGGAAATCTATTGAAGAATGAACGAAACGACAATTTTCAGTACCTGGAAGTTGCCCATATCTTGCCGCACTGTCTAACAGCAGTTGCATCTCAGGACACTGACCTAGTACGTCTGCTGGAATGCACCCCGTGCCTTCTGCCACACTGACACAACGTTGTAGAGCGACTCGAAGAAGAATGTACTCCGGATTTTGGACATGTTTGACCCCGGCATTATTCATCTTATTGACGGCCCGAAAATTGACAGCCCATTGAATGCTCTTACACTGACGCATGATCACCATCGGGCGTTTGGTGAATTCCAGATATACTTCGAGCCAGCAAGCACCCAGTATCAATATAGAATTGACTCAATGGAGCAAAGCCCCTTTCTACGCGATCCGCTATTCCCGGTCACCCGCACGCTGTCACTTAGCCCTAGTCGGACCATTGACCCGCCATCAGCTCGACTCCTCGGTGTCCATCGAGCCATTGCAAAGATCATGAATCTTAGCGGCGCAGGTGAATATATAGAGAAAGTACTCCGAGATTTGGAGGAGATTGATGTGAGGGCTGATGGATCAACAAACTTAGGACGTGTGATGAATTTGCGGCTTGGTGGCTGGCTCAACCCATTGACTGTATTTTAATTACATATCTATCTCTAGCCATCTCATCCTAGGCAACCAATGTCTCTTCAACCATCAGACCCGCATGCCGAAAATGCCCTTTGGCGCTTTGTTCTTTTCGCCCCACTGCATCAACGCACCATTCAAGAAATGCACCGAAGCCTTGACTAGGATCTTCCTCGTAGAAATCCCAATTTCGCTTGATAAAAGCTTTCAGCTCGGCAAAGAACTCTTCAATCGGATTCAAGTCTGGAGGATACGGTGGCAGATATACCAAGATGACTCCAGCATTGGCACACATATCCTCAAGAGGTTGAGAGTGATGAAAAGAGGCATTATCCATCACCAGAACGGATTTTGGCTCTGGCCACTTCCCGCAATGTTGAAGAAGCTGCTCCACAAAGTCCTCGAACATACATGCATCTGTTGCACCCTGGAAAACTCTAGATAGAGCAATGCCATCCTGCGCATAGGCAGGTAGGATTTGATACCGTTGGTCGCGATGAAATTGAGATATTTGAACTGGTGTCACACCCAGCGGAGACCACCCTGTCCGTCTGAATCCTATTCTTTTATCGCACCCTGACTCGTCAATGAAAACCAGATGATATGAATAGAACTCGGAAATACTGTGAGTGTAGGCATCTCGAAGGTCTGCATTGCGCTCTTTTGCTCTTTGCTGAGTAACCTTCTTAGACCAACCGTGAGAAGAAAGAGTCCTACTAATGCTGGACTTGGTTACGAGAACCTCAAACTCATCCCAGAGAAACACCACCATCTCATCCAGATATAAGCCGGGTTTCTCAAGAAGGTGCTCACAGAGAGCTTCACGCATAAGTGGTGTAATAGATGGCCGTCGACCTGCAGGGTTTCTTGGTGCTCTAGTATCGCTAAAAAGCCGTAGGTTGGAACGAATATTTGTGATTGAGCGCTTGCTACACTCCGCTGCATCAGCCATCTGGGATATAGTTAGTGAACCTCTTAATACCATATCACGGATCAAGTCATGCTTCCAAGCCGGAAGATTTGGCGCCATTTTGCGTCACAAATACTAAACATAGGATGGGACACGCAGCCCGTAGCTTTTGACGAAAAACATACAGGTCCCGATTAGGTTAGCCTTTGTAACAGACACATTACATTAGACCGTGACCGTTGTACTGTACCGAACGTAGTTATACTTTAAGGTCTAACTGTTCACTGACTAGCAATTAATTAAGCTCTTTGCCAAGAGAATTAGAAGTCAACATAAAGAGTTTTAGATGGAAGGCAATTTCGAGACGTACTGTAGGACTACCCTGAATTATAACAGAAGATTTTAGATAACTATGATGTAAATTTTTTTTTTGAACCCTAGTATCCTTAGATAGCTATAATACTAGTCTTTCGCCAATGAGTAAACGAGAGAGATACCTGTCTTCCTCTTGCGTTTTCTAAGTGCAATTGGGCTTCAGCCACTGAGCGCTTCCTCCTCGCAGATTGGATAAATTTGCAGCGGTGGAAGTCAATTATCGGTGCTTGGGTATCCCTTGTTCCTGGCATAGAGGGGTATATATATGTGTAAGGTATCTACCGTGGTATCAGAACTGTTATTCGTTAGGAAGTCGGCGATATCACTTGCCTCCGCCAGAGAGAAAAGGAAGGTAGCTCTATAACTATTCATAGATGATAGTGACTTGCCAAATGCCCTTAATAACTTCAAATCGGCCTGGTTGTGTATCCTTAGTTGGCACTTCACTGACGCAAGATACGTGATAGCCTCTTCAATAATCCGGGCTGCGCTGCGACCAGACGTTGATACACACTCCCACATTTGGGCATATCTGAGTGAGGTTGGTTTCATCCCTGTCTAGCTCTAGGCAAATAGATGGAATGCAGCTCGGAGATTATTTCTTGGGCCGCAATGTCGTGCTATAGTCTTCGAAGTCAACCTAGCATAACTTGTTGACTCTATCTGGTATTAGGCTACCGATATAGGACTAGGCGAGACAATACCGGATATGCCATCATAGAGCTTAAGATAAAGCATAAACTGGAGGGCAAGCCAAAGGCCAAATGCGACCGTAGGTGTGGTCGGTCAACTCCCAGGAACCCTGAAGCCCGCTTACGAGCAGCATGTGCTCAATTGACCCCGCCCTGTGTATATGGTATATCATTTTTAGGTCAATGGGCCCAAAAAAAAACCGGGACTGCGGAACCTTGAACTGCGTAGAGGACACGATAAACGTCTGATTCACGTCGCACTTCACCCCAGCGGCGGGGCGTTGTATTGGAGGCATATTCCTTAATGTTAAGGCATTAGAAAAAATTGGGAATTCTGTTAGAAAACCATTGGAATTTTCATGTTCTTCCATAGGAAGAGGCTCACTATTTATAGGTCAGAGTCACGTGAAAATTAGGCTTGGCGATGCATCCCCCATGTTCTAGCGTCTTGTCGGGTTACTATCCGCCCCAAATCTCTATCCTTGTGAAAGGGTTACTTGTGTGGGGCCAAATTCTTACCCAACAGGACCTCAGCGCGGTCGAAAGGACGAGGAACGTGAAACAGACATCACGGTTTCCATCGCGCAAGGTCGAAGCTACGCGCCCAATTTTGGGTATATGAATGAGCGTTCCCATTTCCACATTTTGAAGCGAAAACAACCGCATTTCTGTGCCATATGCCTTGCCCAATTTCCCTGGGACCATCTCGCAAACGACAGGAGCGCAAGGAGTATCTCGACCGACGTTCATCAAAAAGGCAGAAGCTCGGCCTGCTCACTTCAGCATATTGGGATAATTTGTCGAAGATTTGGTTAACGCGGGACGCTCTTGAGGAGTTGGATCGACGAAACAGTGCTTCTAGCAGCGTACCAGGACCGCCTCACTCCCTCCATCGGCCGCACACTCGACAGTTTCAGGCTGTGCTGCTTGCTTCTGACCCATCGAATAGCTGCAGCCCCGAGAGCGTAAGAGAGATAAAGAGGCTTTCCAGGCAGGGCGGACCTGATTTATCCGACCTTAGAAATGTATGCAATTCCTGTAACCTGCTGGTACCTCTACTAACGCCTTATCTCAGTTCCCAGACCCTTCAAAAAGTCATTTTGCTCCAGCTCCGCACCGCAGTAGTAGCTCCGAGGGCAGTCGTTCCAATCCATTGCTCGTTGGGCAGAGGCCTTTTGAATTCATAGGTATCTTGAGCTCTCGCGATAGGTAACAGTTTATAAAAATTAGTCCTTTGTGTTTGGGGTCAAAGACGGGCCCACAAGTAAAAATTTAGGGTGGAAGGATGAATCTTTATACCTCCAGTAAACGCCCAACTTCTATTTTAACTAGTTAGTTACGTCACGAGACAGGGCCTTGGCATGCAGAAATTTCCAGGTATAACTACGTTAGCGCCTTTGATATTGATAAGTTAGCTTTGTTATGCCAGCACCTCATTGCTCCGGCGCCATAGAGAGCGTAAGTAAAAGTCCATGATGGCTTCTGAAGATGCCTTAGATATAAGGCTCTCACCCTACGCTCATTCTGTTTCAACTCGAACATTGACACAATAAAGTCCGGTTACCATGAAGATATCGAATATCAATACTCTCCCCCTTGAAATCATTGCGCAAATTCATGAGGACCTCCCGGTTTTTAACGCCCTGTATAGGGCAATTCAGAGCTGTCGCCGCATCTACGATGCTTGAGATCTTATCTTCCCAGGAGCCACAGCCCTCAAAGTATGCCTGTTCACAACATATGCCCGTCTGGTTTACTTGTGGGGCCACATTCTTAACCATACAGTAACTACTGTAGTTACGATCCCCGTTATGCCAAATAGTTAGAGTTAACTTCGATATAAAACAACTAAGTATTATCTAAAATAGAAGTTGAATAAAGATTTATCAGAATATCGTACATCAAGGGTATAAACCTGTGGGCCCCCTCTCCTCACCTCAACTCGTCGTTGAATACGCGGAATAATTTATACCGCATATCTAACTGTACATCGGTAAGCCAACACTTATTGTAGTTAAGGTTAGGTATGAGAAAGATGTACCAAAGAGCCAATATAAAATATGCTAGGCCATAATTAGTCGTCGTTGAGATAACAGGTAGGGGTCACTAACACCTGAAAGATCAATATCCTCAGTCAGACAGCCTTCCAAGCACCCTATGTCTGAGGAATAGGAAGCGTACTGAAAGCGTAGACCTCTCACCCGATAAGATGTTCCGAAATTAACGGTATAGGACACCCGGATATATATCAATTCATCACTCGGAATAAAAGACTGGGTCTCTTCTCTCACTTCTCCTAATATATCTGAAAATCCGTTTTTGTGGAGGACTTTGACCCCACAGATGTATTTGGATGAAGCCTCACTATATACCGTGATGCTAGACACGGCGGTGAAATTAGCGGAGGAAATGAACACTGTATGTGGTTCGCTAGTCCCGAATTCAATAGTTGTAGTTGGATATTGTGCCGTTGGTAGGAAAACATTAGTTGCCGTGTGTCGTTGCTCGGGCTCCCGCTGTAAAGCTCCGATAACGGATACGCCTTTTATTTCCTTAATAGTGTTAGCTCGAATAATATATACAAAGGAGAGCAATAAAATAATGGGTTATTAACCGTATGGGCCATGAAAGAACAGAATACTCCATTAGGTGATAACGCGGCATGCCATTCTTCCACTTTTGGATTCCCGAAGATAACACACCTCCCAAAACTCGTGAAGAACTAGCGATCTAGGTAAGCTTTTGTATTCAGACATGGAATAGGAGATTTTACCTTGACCGCTATGGTCTCATCTGACTTCGCACAGGCAATTCCGACGAACGTTTCCTTCGCCTGGGCGTTGGTATAAAACGAAAGCTTAGTTACCAATGGATGTGGATTGCCGAGGTTAAGCTTAATGCTTCCGAAGTCGAGTTCGAAGCCCGTAATAACTTGGCTACTCGCATCCACGAACGCACTTATGGCATTGGCAGTTTCTAGCTGCCTGTCAACGAAACTAAGAGGTAATATGCCTTCGACGGGCCCGCAGTCTGCCAGGACAACCGGTACTAGCTCCTCAGGCGGAAGCCGGGATTTCCAGGAAATGGATCGGTGTTGAGGCAGGCCTGTGCCATGGAGCACTGATATTGCACGGATTTTAAAGGACTAGTAACAATTAGCAACGAATCCCACATTGCGAATAGAAAGAAAGAGAAGACATACGTCATATGAGGGTACAAGCCTAGTAGAACATTCGATAGGCCACTCCATCTGAGTATACACAAGGTCGTCCGAATCGAGAGTAGATCCATGCCAGCACGCTTCCCAAGAAATGTTCTTCACCTGCAAGGCCGTAAAGCCTTCGGCATCTGATACCAGACGCAGGCCATTAAGTTCTCTCGATGATATTGCAACCGCTGATTCGCCTTCATACCCAAATCTATTCAACTCTATCTGGAAACCGCACAGGTAACTGCGGTCAGAAACATGGCTAAAATTGAATAATATTTTGGGTATTGGATAAATATCGATGGCGTTTTCCATCAAAACCTCCGGCGTCGACAAGGGGAGTGAAGGATTTGCCTCCGTACAAAAGAAGGGCTGCTTCATCTTTGAAAGTAAAGTTTCGACATTATCCCAAACCCTGCTGTAGTTATCAATACTTGGTATAGAGCTTGCTCGATGATAAAGATTCCAGAGAACCCTCTCGATTTTCCTTGACACTTCTTTCCTTGAGCCTCTAAAGATTGGTGACCTGTAAGCAAGATATCTTCGCCCGAGGCGAAACCATACTCTGGTATCTGGTTTTACCCCAGCTACTTCTTGTAGGTGATATACGTCCGGGTAGCTGTTCAAATGCCCGTAGATAATCTGGATAATCTCGTGTGGAAGGGAGAATCTGCCGAAAATGCCGCTCGTGCTTTCTAAGGATTTTTCCGCCAGTTCGGGGCCGATACCCTCGACTTCATTAGGTATTCCAGGGCCGTGCGGATACCGTATCGGAGTAAGAAAGGGCGCCATATCTTGAAGGAGCCGGCAAAATCTGTCAAGCCATTCAACTTTGACCCCTTCAGATCCAAGGGCCTTTGTCACAACCAACCAACAGAGGGAATGCGTAGCAACGCCTGGTGGCATAAAGGCTGTCGAGGGCCTAATGAGCGGGCCAGCACCCTTCGCGCTATTTTCGAGTTGTAGAAGCTGAAACGATGCCCTCCACGCCTCCCTTCCGGAACATTTTGAGTCGATGGTCTTACCACATAGAACGCAAGGTCGACAGTAGCCCATACCTTCGGGTATGCTGGTGTCAAGTATATGGTGAGTAAGTATGCCGATAGGGAGCTTTGTGAACCAAACAATTCGTGCACCCACCCCAAGCCAACTACCAACCAACTAGTCAACTTATCACATGATCCACCAGTCAGTTATTTATCTTAAACTAATTTGTCCTAGTTACATCAGTCACGTGATAGTGTACTATATCAAGCTACTAAAGTGACATCGCGTAACGCTGATTCATTGAGGGAAGGTTCCTCAGGTACATATTTTTATGGAACTAAAACATTTGCGTTCTTAATAACATCAAAAACCCGCCTCATAGATGCCTCATCTAGCTTAGGGTCCATATAATCAGCCGCCAGTGGTGTTAACACTGGGTTGCTCCTCGTTACCTTGTACGCCATCATACGCGTACCCACAACCCGAAGAGCAAATATCTTCATTTGACCCTTTGCTTGGCCAGTTTGGAGAGCGGTTCTTGCGTAGCCTAATACCTGCTCGTCTGTGTGGTTGTCCTGCGCCATACTTTGATGTTCGGGTTTTGCTTCGACGACGACAACCTCGATGAACGCGCCATTCGTCCAGAATCGCTCAATAACAAAGTCTGGACGGGCGCCGGTTGCCTGGCGTTTTTGAGGAGTTACAATCCAACTGTCATCGGTAAAGGTGTTGTTGAGGAGACGGTCCCATAGCCCGGTTGCAGAATCCTCGTTCGCGTCTTGCGATGCTCGGTCGTACTGGACTGCGAGGGCATTTGTGTCGATCAAACCTCCCTGTGACGGCATAGCTGCTATATACACTGGCTAAACTTAGCAACGAGCATAACGAGAATCTATAGCCGACTTACCAAATAAGCAGCAAAGATACGTAGGAGAAGGTCGGTGGGAGAGCGATATAGCCAAGGCCCGACAATTAATAAAATCAAAGAGAAACCGAGCCTTAGCGTACTGCTGTTTTTACCTTGGGGAGGGGAATCGGTCTTATATGCTCGTTTCGGGGTTATGGGGAAAGAAGAGGTAGAGGAGGCCTGCCACTGCTAGGTGTTTAGCAGCTTATTGGGGGAAAAAGGTGAGTTAAATCCGATAACGTTCCGTGTGATGCACGATGAATAGTGGCAGAAGAGGGGTAGAGCCTGTCCACGCGGCGGCAGCCTTGAATTTAAAACCTGGAATGAAGCTGTTTTATATTTATTTGATCTCTACTGTGCAGAAATACAATACTTTCTCCTTCATATTATACAAGACGGTCGCCTCAGAGTATACAGCTATAGAGTATGGGTCCATGATTGCGGCCCACTACCACAAGAACCTCAAAACACCCGTGCGGCGATGCGAAGCGCCGCAAAGAAGTATGCGAAAGAGGAACCGAATAGGTAGACTCCAGCGGTTTAAGGTTTTACCGACTCCAGAAGACACCACTTGTGTAACTCCTCGGGTCTTGGCATCGGAAAGGTACATCAAAGGGAAAGAACCTAGCGGCGATCAACCTAAAGCTTAAAGGGTTTGCAATGGCGCGATGTGACTTGGCAAATTTGTGCTTACAAGCACCAGATAAATCCGTCCTTTATAAAATATATGTATGGTATTATCTTCCGCTCCACGAATCGCATGTGACTATATTACATTAACATCGCTGCTTGGCCATTATTAGCCTATTCCCTGCTCGTATTATTATCCATCACCACCGTCCAAAAATAACTGTTAGAAGGCGTTTCTGGCTGGGGACGTGGCGGCGTGGTTTCGACAAAGTTAAACTTGATCTCATCGGCTCGTAAAGGCGGTGGCATGTCGGCCGGATATGCGCCCTCGTTTCGCGAAATTGGACGAGAAGCTGCGGCGGTAAACCTGATATGCTTGCTAGCGGGTTGAACAGCAGTGGTCGCCGTCATTGAGGTCGGCTGATTACAATCTGAATTTCTTTGTATATACCTGTGTTCGTCCCCCGTATATGTATCCAGATTCCTTGTTGTGAATACGTCGCCGCAGGCAAGGCAAGGTGATGCCATGCGCTCAGAATCCCCTGCTTCTCTTTCCGCGGCGGCTTGAACTATAGTATTCTGGTTAGTAGCACAGCGCAGATGCTCAGAGTGGTCGATCTCCTGTCTGGGGGGAAGCGTCGCGTCGCAAAGGGGGCGGTGAAGGCCGTACTGCAACATAATAGCAGAGGTATTGTCTATTAGGATAGTTAGTCATGTTTAACTGGATAGCTCGGGTCCATCTCACCATTGTATGTTGCCTGTAGGTTGTCGAGCAGTCCCGATATCGATTTCGCAAGCAAACGAATGGGCATGTACTTCTTCTCTTGGTGAAGGAGGCCGTGAATGCTGGGAAGTTCTGGTACTGCATATTCCAGAACGTGGTGCGCAGGAGGGAATATATCACACTTGACCCATGACAGCACGGGTAGAGTTTTTCGTAAACATGAGCTTTTAGTGCCCGTTGAACTGCGTCATAAATGCGTTGTTCTTTGCTAAATCCTTCGGATTTCAAGAATTTTGTGATTCTGCCTCTATGGTGATTTCTTATATCCCAAACCTCTTTCGCTAGCGCAAAGCTGCGTCCGGCAAAGAAAGCACGGAGCATAATTTGGCACGTTGATTTCTTCACTGCTAGCAAGATATCCGTGACGCGGGGATCCTGCTTCACCCATTCTTTATTCATCAACTCCGGTGCTCGAAGACAGTCGCGTATATTATCCAAAGATCCCAGAACAGCGTCCAAGGGTTTGGTGAGAAAAGCTGGCGTTTGCGCACTAGGATTTTGCTCCATGAGAGCCAGAGGCCGGATGCCACCGCCAGGAGAACGACTGACCTGGAAGCTGGCTTGGGGAGGGATTAGGCCCAAATCTGTGCCTTCTCCGCTTTTTGGACTGAATTGGGAAATCGGCTTTATTGTGAAGTCGATAGCTGCGGTAGAGTAGGGGCCGTCTTCTAACCCAGCTTGGCCCCGGCCGATGGTCACGACAATACTACCGTCGGGAGGTGCGCTTGCAGGCGGTTGAATTGCGTTACCGTCGCCACATCCAGGCTGAGTCGCTGGTACAGAGAAGGATCCACCGCTACCGAGGCCCCGGCTACCCAGGCCCCGAGTGCAATGTTTCTTGTGTGCGCCGATACCTCGTGTATTCCGGAATCCTCTGCCGCAAACACAAATATACTCGCCGGACTTTGGGTCCCATGACTGGCACACAATTTTGTGTCTCTCCCAAATTTTGTGTGGACGGCTGGAGAATGATGTTCGGCAGCGCAGACAGAGAACATGCCCAAGCGGTGTCTTCTGCCAGGCATTTATGTCTTGGGTCACCGATTGCTTGCGAGGATGTCTGCCCATACTAGCACTTCCGTGAGCTAAACAAGCAGTTTAGGACTGGCTGCCGGGAAACCAGGTTATAACTGACAAACATACCTTGGGGGAGAGTGTCCTCGAAACTGATCACAGCGCAGTCAAGACTGGTCGAGCGAAGGAGTTGTGGTTTGTGGACGGAGTACCCCGTACGTAGAGAAGGCGGCCTTACTCTACCGACACCAAATAGACAAATGGCATATGCTTTAAATAAGGCCGAACAAGAGCCCCAACTCACTAGCCCCGGGCGATCGCTAGCGCCATAGTGGACAGCTGGGATATACCCCTGGTGACTCCCTCAATAGGGTGATTGATCAGATTATTTGTGGAAGCGAGGATCCGACTAGATTGCTCCGGGGGTCCAGCGGCGGTCCAGGATCTTAAGCACGATATGCCGATGGCGCATCTGCAGTTGCCGTGGCTTTTCATGCAGCCTAAACCAGAACCATATACTTAGGCATGCTGCGGTAGAAACCCTGAGGAACTAGATATCTGGTTGCGGAAGTTTATAGCCTGACGACATGTAACAGCATAGCAGGTACAGGGTATTCTATGACTGCCGACTTACGCGCTTACTTTCCTCACAAAGACAAGATGAAGTACACGTTGAATTTCACGGTGTCAGTACACACGAGCAACATAAAACGCGATATGAGTCTACGGGTATGGGTAGACATACTTTGGCGGGGCAGAGAATTGACCATATTGCTAATAATAAAGGAAGTATACGATGCAAAAGATCGCTATAATCGCCACGGAGTACAGAGATCAGGGCCTGGAATTAGCAAGATAGTTTAGAAAAATCCGCATCCGTCTAAGTGTTTCGTTAAATAGTTGCGTCAGGAAGGTCCAGCCCGCTATTCGGCCAGCTTCGAGATGTTAAGTCCAAGCTAGTGCACGGGCGGTCAGGTTTGAACACGTGACTTATATATTGATTAATCAAATATACCCCCTGGTTCGAATTGTAGAAACGGCCCAAATGTTCGTGTGCTATATCCATACCTGGCGCTTCGCATAGGATTTCATACATCTTTGATCTTTGGAAAGAAGGTTCCAAATGCGACGTCCGGATAAAAGCAAGAGCCGTGTCGGATCCAAGCCTGAGTGCAGTATCTTCCGTATCGGTCGTTCTGGGTATATCAGAGGTCTTCGATTCTCCATACTTCTTAACAAGTCTACCCGCTGGGTCAGACGTGTGTGGGGAATATATTGGATGGTGTAGAACTAACATATAAATATTTGTACGGTTATCCTCGAGACTAACGCGTAGAGTATGTCAGCACAGGAGATATAGGCGCCGTGGAATTATGTATACCTTGGTATCTCAGACAGTCTGACTGTTTTCGCCGGACACTCTATGACAGCAGCCTTAAGAAGTACAAAGAGGGGGGCTGACATATCGCTATCTATAGGTACAACAACCATCGCTGAGTTGTAGCACCAACTCTGCCGCAGTCCGTGATGAATCTCGTGCTCGCCACAATAGATGGACCATTCCACCTCGCAGGAGGTATTGGTATCGTCTATCAGGGGAGCCGAGCTTGGAATGTCGGGTGGGAATAGGGAGTAAGAACGGAGCCCCTCTGGCGGATTAGCGGCGGCGACAGCTTGGGCAAGTCGCCATTCGATCTTCCACTAAATAGATATTAATCTCATTTCTATGCGTTTAATCTTTGTTATACGTACCACACACATTTTCACCCTAGACATCGAATAGATCTCATCCCCCTGTTCTTCTCTATGCAAACCGTATGTCATATGGTGGATAGTTCGGATACCCCAGATACTCCGGCAAGTCTCAGCGTCGGGACCGCGAAAGAAAGCGATCATTCCATCCGGGCTCGAACCCTGTATCCGAGAAAAGTACATGCCAATGGCAAAAAGATCAGCCTCCAGCCCCCCATCCGTAGCCAGCCAGGTAGCCATCTTCTCGGGTACTGGCATTTCCCATGGTGTAGGAAGGCATGCTATGGTGATTGCAGTCGCTGCATCAAAAGCTAGGGTAGCAGGGAACTCCATACCTCACCAAGGGTGTTTGGGCTCGAGATATCGAGGGTCTGTCCATCATTCTTATAGACTAGACGATTCATATGAGTACAACCATGGAGGAGGTAACGAATGCAGGCAGTACCTCCTAGACGCCCTTTTCTGTTCCCTTGTAAGGGGGAGATAATATTGCGGATCATGCATAGGCCGGGCCCCCTATCTGTAGGTCGGATCGGCATTTCTAGCCGCCAGCCAGCTAACGTGCTGGACATTGAACTGGCCAAGAGGGGGTGACGAAATGAGCGGGTATAGAAGACTAGCGAGTCCAGGAATCTGGCGTGGGAACGTTGCGGGCGAAAGATATCCCGTTGAATGGAAAGGACAGGCATGAGTTCAGAAGCGCTGAGGACGGCACTACGTTCGTGATCACGTGCGAAAGAATCTAGAACTATCTGCGAGCTCTGCTGACGGAACTCAAGTTTTTACGCTAACTTCGCACCAAACTTGCTGCCCATAGTCCCTTCTCGGAGCTTCTACGGCGTCAGGCCATGGTGCAGTCTACCTTTCAAGGGTCGTGCTAAGCTTTCTTATAGTCAGAGTTTGCAGAACCCGCATGTGAATATACTTTCCCGGTTCCACAGCATATTTAACTACTTATATCGGAGCGCGCTAATGATCGGTACGATTATGGCGTCTCTACGGGACACAGCGGAACGGCAAATCAATGCCTATAAGCCCAAGATACAATAGCAAAGAGCGAAAAATAGGCCTAATATCGATGAATGATGATAATAACTAGGGAAACAGGCCATATCTGGCCTCTATATATGGGGGAAGGCGTAGCGTACGTACGAGCCGTAATCAAACAGATCTGCAGGGGGGGAGTGGCGTTGGCCTGATACTGCCAAGACGCCGTACACACGAAGATTCTGACAACTTATGTATGCTTACGTAGCTATCAAACCTAATTGGTGGCCACACCCTTAAAGCCCGCAATCTTTCACAAATTATTACTATTTTAATAATATATACAAATAAACATATTTAACATTTAGTTATTATTATATTACATATAAACTTGCGGCATATGTTCCGGTTAAACGGCCTGTAAGGAGTCCGCTGTGATGTCCGGCGACCTTAACGCTGTGTAAAATCCTTGGGTACGATGCTGATCACTGTGGTAGCCCACGGGGATATAGCCGTGGCCTTGCATTGAGCTACGGGGCTCGGGGTAGGTGGGGGCGTAGTCTTGTAGAAGCTCTGGGTCGGCCGTCTCATCAGTAGCAGTATTAAGCCATTGTTGCATACGGTCGACAGGCGGTGGAAGGCATTCGGCGCAACCGCATGGCAGTGCTTGGGGGGGCATTCTTCTCTAGGGTTCCACCATGCGCCGATGGGGGATATGGCGAGGATTGGTCGGGATTGATCGGCTGGTACCCCGTTGCTGATAATACAAGGCGATGGTGATAGCATTCGACGCTTCGTGTTCTTTTCCAGTCCGTGCTTACTTGGATAAGTTGAGCCACGGTCAGCGCCTTCTATCGCTTGCGGGGTTCGTTCTCGCTTTTTATCTCTGTTAACTACATAAACCACGGCATTTGCATCTATCGTCACGTTAGCTCCATATGAATTCCGCAAATTATGCCTATACCTACCTACTTCGCCCCTCTCATAACTCTCTTCCGCCCTTCGAACCTTATAAATCTCATCTAGGATATCAAGTCTCTCGCGGGGTTTTATTTGACTTTGGGCATCACGTCCGGCCTCTTCTAGCTTGTTGGCAGTTATTCCATTATTACCAAGCTTGCGGAAGAGGTGGATAAGAAGGCGTATCCGTTCCGGCTTCAGCAGGTGATCGGGTTCACGGTGGGGGACGCTGGCTGGCCACCAGTCTGGCTTAGTCTTCTCTGGGCCCCCCTTCTCGCCGGGTGCTCCTCGTCCTCCATTGTAAGGATGCTTAACTTGCTTGCGCGGCTCGATGATCTTGATATAGGCCTTTGCCACTTGACGACAGTTGATCTGCTGGAAGGCTCTAAAGGCAGATTCGTAGTAGGCCTCAATCTTCTCCTCATTTCCTATCTCAAGGGGTACCATCTCCACACTATGCGGTCTGTTAGAAGGCTCCTCCGGCTCGGTAGTGGAATGGTCCATCTCATAGCGACGCCTCTTCGAGCGAGAGGGGAGCGCATCTTCGACTTTTCCCATCGGGAACTGCATTCCTTGATAAGACTTTGAGTCCCCTAGTATTCCGTGTAAGTAAATAACATATTAAGCAAGCAGGGGAGATTAATACCAGAGAAGAAAGGCAGATGGTTAACGTTAGCCCCCGTAGCTCGTGCGAGCAAATCGCCAAATTCAGAAGTGAATATGGGACCTTTGAACTCTGGGAGAGATGTATGGAAACTGGGCTGTCCAGAGCTGTCAATATCCAGGTGGAAAAAATGCGGGTTAATAGTATGCGGGAGAGAAGGGTATTGGATGCCTTCCCTAGGGAAGCTGAGCACTCTCCCAGAAACGACCATTATATCGAAGGCTCAAAGTCAGGTTCGGTAAGGTTGCCCTTTGCGGTGAAAGCCGGCTCTAGAGGGACTGAAGAGTGCAGAAATTCGAAGGCGGTATCAGATAACCTGGGTTTGTGGGAAGGGAAGTGCGGTCGGTTGGGAGGGAATGAGATTATTATATGAGAGTATTATATGATAGTTGGCGGATAACATTATCGTTTGTTTCTGTCAGACACGGATCGGACGGATTTCCCTTGATGGATACTAGAGCAATTCTTGAAGCCGGCATGCAGACAGACGAAAGATGTACACCAAACCCAGCGGGTGGTTGCATCAGGCCCCAGGCCAGAACATCATACCTGGCTTCTCCTAGCATGCTCGCGGATAACATTTGGTTAGGAGGAAACCAGGGTATCGAAAAAGAAACAACGGCCTGCACCAGCAGCTATTGATAGCCATCGGGCTATAGTACGAACCTTTACCTGCTCTCCGACGTCGTGATAAACCACCGATGCGACACAACCCTAGCTTGGTTGCGCCCACTCTCCATTAGCGTACACTCAAAACACCCGTTGAGACAACCCAGAAAGTTTAGAGGGATGGTATAGGGAAGCTCTAGGTGCTTATACAACGTTTGTCTATATTCCACACGCGCTAAATCACGTGGTGGATTTCTCAGTAAGGACACTTCGGCCTGCTATTGGACAGCTAAGATAGATGGACCGGTTCTGGCAGAAAAAGCAATTTCGGAGCATACACATCAGCATGGCACTGAGGCTTCCAGAACGTCGCCTGCTGACTCACCCCAGCGGCTATGCACCCCCGCCCACGAACCATGGGGGTCATGCTCCATCCCCCACTTAGAAAGACCCAAAAGGTACCTCGCGCACTTTTCCTCATACTGAGGTGCCTTCTCCACAAACACCGTCAGCAGAATAAACGTTCTATGAAGGAAACCCGTCATGAGGTTACGCGTGTGCGGAAGGCCAGCCTCGAGCAGCTTCAGACACGGCTCTATTCCGATCTGCCATACTTTTTCTTGTAGCTGGTGGCCTTCTGGCCAACGCCTCAAGTCAGTGGGAATCTCGGGGTGCTGTGCAAGATCCCAAATATCGATATACCTTCTGGTGAGCTCGAGGTGTGCGGAGGCGGCCGCCGTCCAGTCAGCTTTATCCGCCTTGGCAATTGACACACACGCTTCTTTCGCTTGATAGAGTAGATCGGCCTGGGCGTTGCGTTCCCTTCGAACGTCTTCGCCTGAGAGGCGCTTGCTCCCTACCTCGCCAGTAATGCCTGCGACCGGCAGAGAGCAGCCTTGTTGGGAATTCCAATTCTTGTAAGCAATCCAATCGAAGACTCCATCGCGTAAGAGCCTGTTCTCGTCGAAAGCGCTGCGGAAAAGTTGACGGAGATAGTTGTAGTCGGGTTCATTGGTATGGTCAGGAAATTTCACGTACTCCAAGCAGACTTTGAACGCTCGAGGCAGCCCTTCACAGAGAACTTCCGCCCGCGTGTCCTCCATTTGCCGGAGAATGTCTTCGTACAGTGTCTTCGTAAGGTCAATCTGGAGCCCCTCCCACGGCGCTAGCCTGCGGCACATATAGATGAGCATGAGTGTGAGCCCCTCAAGGTCAAAATACCGGGCATCATTACGCCGCGGGTGTTCCGTGATCAATCCGGCTACCTCAACAAGCGTGACCTGATTTAAGGCCTTTATAGTGTCCAAGGCAAACGCACCAGGCCGTATCCCGCCGTGAATGAAAGACCGGCGATGAATGACCTCAACGCGGCTTATGAGCTGCTCGGCGAGGAGGAAGACGGTCTTTAGGGAGAACGCCCTACACCATTCCAATAAATCCTCTAAGGTAGGACCGGCGAGGCGGCAGACCATGAATCTATATCCATCCTGGGTGCCATAGCGTTCGACCAGGGGAAAACCAATTTCCCCCGAAAAAGATAGAAGATTCTCGACCTCGCGTTCAAGGGACGGTGCGTCCGTATCGCGCGCCTCTAGCTTGATCGTCACCTTACGGTCGTCCCCTGATAGCCCAGCACCCTGGATCTGACGATCACCAACGTAGACGTCATCCTGAATGTGCTTAATGAGTTTATAGCCGTCAACCGTCTCCTGGAGCAAAGTTAGACGAGTTCGCAAAAGCTTCAACGGGTAGTCATACCAGTGGGAGAGCCATTGTGCCTTGTCGGGAGTTGGTTTATAGATATATCTGGGGAATTCAGGACAGATCCATTGTCCGCGTAGAAGCTTGCATAGAGCAAGATGAATAGAAAAGATAGGAATTCGGTGAGCCTTATATGCTGTACATGCCTCTAGCTCTGTAGCGACGAAATGATATCTCAAATGCGGTACAAGTCATATATCGAATTCAACTAGATACCATCCTAGATTATGCGCTAATAAACAAATAATAACGTTGAAACAGAAAGAGTAACGTAGTTATCGCGAAATAAGGTTTTCTTCTCCATAATCGAGGCTCCACTGGCTGTAGCTCTCCCTGGTTATCACCCTTGCCGGCTGCCGGGGTCCGCTCTCCTCCATCTTTTGGTATTGTTTGAACGTGTCCCGGTGGCAATGCGGGATGGCAGCTACCGCTCCCGGGCATTGTGAGTAGGCGCCTACGCTCGTGAAAATCACTTTGACACGTTGCGTTACATCCACTTCGGCCCACACTAGGTACTTTCCTCTAGCATGTTCGATGCCTTGGTATGTCGCTACCCATTCGACGGTTTCGGGGTTATCTATGATCTTCCGACCGTTCCTTATATGGGCGAGTTAGCACTTAGAAGTAGAATAAATAGGAGTTGCCGGCGTATACCTGTAATTTTCATTATTTCCATTGTGGCAGGCCGAAGATTCAAAGTCTGGGGGAAGGTTTTTCCTAAACTTTTCAACAGCCGTCTCCATTCCCCGCATCAGTTTTAACTCTGGGAGAGAGCTGTACACACTCCGCTCTTCGCCGGCAACGGTCCGAACCTTGATCAGGGCGCCTTCGTCGTTGATGCTGAGAATTTGGACGACATGCATTATATCGTGTGCGGCCACACAATCACCGCCTGTCCTGTGATTCTTAGCTCACGTACAATTATCAGGCAAGAAAGGGAAAGACCTACCCGGGTAGCGCAAGGGCAGGCTCCTTCAGCCTCACACCCCAACACTGTGTCAGCCAGGAGAAAATCATGCTGTGGAGATACGCAGATAATTGCGCACCATCAGGCCGAAATGGAGCATGCAGGGCGCAGGCAGAAAGGCGTCCATGTTCAAGGGGCGGTGACCTTTCCTATAGACAAACTTCGCTCAAAATACATATAAACCACCTCCGTTGAAACGCAAATGTGAGGCCTGGACTGTGAAGTAGGCCAAGTTTCGGGGCTCCGGCACGGCCCATCCTATTCTAGGCTAGACAGCATCCTTTCTTACCTTTAGGCTTCCGCCATGCAGTTAATCATTAGCGGCCCCGCTTTTATAATTATTGATACTATAAGTCTGGTTGGCCGAGCATATCCCCTGTCGTATTTATAATAGTCCCATGATCAATCATGTGACTAGTAATATTTTCTCTCGGCCATGCATTCCAACTCGCGAACGTCTTCTTTTTTTTTTTCACCCAGCAGGAAGTTACAATGTCTCAAGCTTCCACTGAGCTGCTATCTGCCCTGCAAATTCTTTGCAACACCTCTCGTGAATCACTTCGCGCCTTCCGCGGATTGGATACTTGGGAAAGAGTGAAGGTTGTTATCAATTCTATCGACGACGACTCAGACACAAGCTCAGAGAATGAAGACCTTTTACAAAGCTCTCTATCTTGTCTCTCTTCCTCAACACCATCGATTATCAGCTCACAGAGCCATCGGTCATCCAGCGCTATTTTGCCAGCTCCCACATGCATCACCCCATCCGTTGAGAATATATCAACCAGTGGGGCCGGCATTTCCCAGCGCAAGCGTAAAGATATATGTGTCGAGTTTCTTAATGAGGTGAAGAATGTTTTGCCAAATCTTATTGAATTTTCGACCAAGTATCAAACGCTAGAGGCGATACCGCTTGAAAAGGAATTTTCACTCGACAAACGGATCCTGTTCTTAAAAGTTGTTTATGGCTCTAAGGTTCTCAGTGAGCGAAATCTGCTCCTATTAGGCCTTTCCCAAATTTCGCATGCCTTGGATTACTCGGAATGGGAGATGAAGGAGCAGATATGCCCTAAAGTTGATGAGATTTGCTCTAACTTGTCAAAGGTGAATAGGAGAAGCGGGAAAATTACTCAATATGTGAAGGATAAAGTTCCTGAGGATCAAGAAACGGTTTTGAGAGGGATAAGAGATGGTGTAAACAAATTTGCATTCGTGAAGCTATTTGTGAAAAGGCATAAAGAATCAGAAGAATCAGAAGAATCAGAAGAATCAGAAGAATCAGGCCAGCACGCTGAGGAGCACGCGGGCGCCGCAATAGGAATGCTACCTATTCTCTCATTTGCTTACCTAAAGTTTCGGTTATTGAAGTACGATCAATATCCGCGGGCTATCGATGCCCTCCTTCTCGAGGACAGGATGGTGAATGCTATTAAAGGCCTTTCGAAGTGGACTCAGGAACTGATAACCACATTTCAATCGCCTTATCAAAGTAAGTTTTTCCTTTAATTTTATATCGTATACTCTGGTTAACAGCTGCTGGGTAGGGGATACTGGTATTCTGCAGAACCTTTTTCAAACACAATCTGGCACGATACTTGACTCTTTGAGTACGCGGGCCTCTCTCTCTGAAGAATCCGTGAATGAAGAAGTCAGGCAACCGGAGCGGGGCGGTTCTTCGCCTACAGGGAGAATGGATGCGGGCGGCCTGACAGCAACATTTGGGATAAACGCGTACTTGCGGGCGGACCACGCGGCTGCGACACAGACTTCATCGCGCGCGGAGTTACTGACGGAGCAGGAAGTTAGATATCAAGGTATCGTACCAACTATATTAAAGAATCGGTCTATGTTAGGGTCCAGAACTAATGTTGAAGGAATATAGGCCCGCACACAATGGGAATAGTGACGGCTACGGCGAAGCGACGGCGGCTGAACGTTGCGTTGAGCGGCCAGAAAAGTAGTCTGTCTAGTCACGGATCGATCCAACGGAGTGCGGACAATTGCCAAGCCATAGCACTAGCATTGCCTGCTAGTGGTTCATTTGAAGGTAGACATCATCAGGGTGTCCAACGACGGATGCTGACGGATGCTGCGGATACACCCACCGTAGCAGAAAGCGGTTCTCTCGGTACGCAGGCCTCTCTCCCCGAAGAATTTGTGAATGAAGAAGTAAGTCGGTCAAGGCCGAATGAGTTTTTGCCTGTAGGGCGAACTGGGCCGAAACGTCGCCGCCCGGATATTGCACCGAGCGACCTGACAGGTACTGTATTCGGTCAACGTGGACCGGCCCATCACTTCCGGAATTCGCAAGGCCAGGCGGATGGTGATGTGCCTGGGCACGGTCCAATGGTAACCAACCGAGTCAACAACAATCATCTTCGTGTGCAACATCTAGATAGTTTCACGCAAGCGTCGAGTCAGCAGGCCAACATCATTAATCAACTACCAGCGCAGTCCACGGCACATCTTAACCTAGATAATCCGGCAAACACATCGAGTGCGAACCATCCGAATTTGATACAGTATCATACGTTGTGCCCAACCGCACATAATATAGACCAAGTGCGGCAAAATATGCCCCAACCGGGTCCTCCCAACGCAGCGGCGCAAACACCACTCAATCCAAACACAGACCAGGGCCATACAACACCTGGGATGGACGCGTGCTTACAACCACGGGCGAACCACGCGGCTACGGCACAAAGCTCACCAACTAGTGACTTTCTCTGGCTTGCTTCATATGCGAACTTTGACTCGGGGAATATAGGTTTAGACACACATTTTCCACCAGCCAGCGATGTTGACCTCCTCCAACTTGGCCTACATACAGATTTCACGTTAATGGATACAAGCTTGGCCCAACTACCGGCTAGGTCTGCCTCTGATCAGCCTCTTCACCATCCAGGGTTGGTACCGGCGAATACGATGACCCCCATACAGTTCCCTCAGTCTCAGGTACAAGAACCAAGGTCTAGCCTCCAGCTTGGCATATATGCCGACGTTCTTAACACAAATCATGCCGAATAAAAATCGAATGTCTTTTTGGTATGCGTCGGCAGGAAACGTTGCTTTTCCCAATCATTGTGTGCTGCTTTCTCGCACAAGGGCTGTAAGAAAATCCAGCTGAGCGTTGATATGTTGGGGTTCTGTAAACCGTATATATTCTCCAGGGTTAAGGTGGTAACCGGAGATATCTACTGCACCGGAGAGAGGGAAGAAAAGTGCATGGTAACCCGGATCTGGTGCGATTGTCACGCTTCCAGAAATCCTCCATAGTGTAAACCCGTTGCCCTAGTAAATTTGTTAACATGGTTTTGCTTAATTATGAAGTTGTAATACCTCTTTATAGAGGCCTAAACTCTCCATCAGTGGCCTCCATTCCTCGAACCGGCTTTCATCCACACACCGTGATGCGTTTCCTTTTACTTGACTTATTTTTGCTGTTTCGAACCATTTTCTTAATGCCTGCAAGTGCTTTGTGGCGTCATCGTTTAGACACAAAGCCATATTCTAGAACCCGCGCTAAAATAGCAAAAAATAACAACGACTTAATCTGATATCCACGTAATGCACGTTTGGTTGAAGAATTTTAGAGAGAAAAAAATACATGGATATTCCAGAAGCGAGGGCATCGTCAGAAATTAAACAAAAGGAGTGTAAAGGAAATGAGGGGCAAGTCGCCCACTATTGGCGGTGAAGGGTGGCAGAATTCACTCGGATGCCTAACGGGTTAGGGTCATATGACGTACTTAGCACCAAGTCAACTGGGCCCACTCTGATGCTCACATCACTTATTACGCCAAGGCCTTTAGCCTCGTATGACTAACTAACAATTGGGTGTGACTTCGTAACATGGGTCGTCAGCATGGTGATCAGTAAAGTTGTTCATCACCCCTGGTTCCGACGTGCTTGCATGAATGACTACGAGGGAGAATAAAGTATCACAACCAATGACAGGAGGCTCCTAAACTTTGTTTGCTAAGTCGATATAAGAAAAAGACTATTTAACTGATATCAACTGTATTCTGTTGATATCAAGATGGAGCGTTTATGCTTTTGTCCGCATCAGCTGATTTCAGCTGATTTCATTGGATTCCAATTGATTCTGGTTGATTTTAGGGGCTTGCCTTATATAAGCATCCTCTTTATTGTTTCCACCAATCTTGTCAAACATTTAGTGCCATTCTCATTCGTCATCTGCATCTAAATAAGTAAGCTCGGGGTTTATATGAAGCTTAATGCATATCTATGTAACTCCCGCAGGATGCAGGAAGGGAAGTGATATTTCATGTAGCGAGAATTTCATACCAATTCGGAATGGGTGTTTCCATCATCTGCAACATAAAAGAGCAAAATGCCCCCAGATCCCGGGGAAGAGACAAGCATTCAACAAGCTAAATTCCAAATCTACAGATACACATCATCGCCCTAGTCCAACAATGTCTACGCAGGAGCACCCCCACCCCTCTAAGGCCGATGCCTTCCGTGATATCCAGGAAGAAGAGGCAGTACCAAAACGAGGAGTAGACGCCGAAGCGGAAGGCGGAGACAAAACGCCCCCTAGGCGTCCACTTTCACTTTCAGTATCCGGGTCCGGAGCCATTTACCGTCCCGCAGTCCTTGCCCTGCAAGCAATTGTTAATTCCCTCGACCTCAAGAAAGAAATTCAACCCGAAGAGCTGAAAGCAGTTGTGGATAAGTTTTCCCCTGAGGAGGTGATTCGACTGCAAGCGATCACATGGCAGTTTGGCACGGATCCCGCCCTAGTTGAACCTCCTGAAGCCCTCAACTTGTTTATGTCTAAACCTGCAGCTGAGAGTAGAGAAAGAATACTGTATCTCGAGGGAGCCAGGAAGAGTTGGAGAGTCATGTCTAAACATGAAGAGACAGGCCGAGAGTTCGTTTATAAAGCTGATAACATCAGAGTATGTCATATCGACCGAACCCCCCAAAAGCAGATGCTAACTGGGAGTGGGAGAATAGGATAGGGCGATACAGCTGATCAGAGACCTTGGCAAGAGTGAAGGCTGCAAGGCCCAATCGATGCCGCTACCGCTGCAGCCAACCCCGAAGGCGGAGGAACCATTTCAGCGTACCAGCGTCTTGCAGAGCGACACGGTAGATGGACCGGACACCCGCATGCAGGAATATCAGGACTTTCTGGTATCTGAGGAGATAGACTCTGGAAAACAGCTTGCTATTGCTAAGCAGGGTACGTTTCCCGTTTGCGGCATCCGAGAGCCCCTTCACGAGAGATTGCAGGGACTTTATGGCCCTGGAGCTGCAGAGGGGCTCATTGTAGTAGCTTCTCTAACAAGGATATTTATTATAGAAGCTACCGCCGAGTTCCGAATACCGTCTATTCAATGGAGTCATAAGAAATGCAATTGCCAGTGTAACTGCAACAACAATCACTCTTCAGAGCTGTATGTCCCCATCAAGTATCTCTTCACGGTGCAATACTGACGATTATAGGTTCAGATGCATGTCTTGCAGTTTGGGACGTACAAATGCGTGCGCACCAGAACATCGTAACTAACGATCGGTCTGTCACTGTAAAGGCTCTGATGGGAAGACTTAAGTTGTTAAACCCTAGGAGTAGATAGCTTCTCAGCGACCGGGTTCGCTTGAATTTTGAAGATCAGCATCCCCTCGGATTTAGACGGCTAGGGAGGTGGGCGATGCTGCCGGTCATTTGCTTTTTTGAACCATTGTTTCTGTAATGAAATCCAATAAGCAGCATATCTTAAAGAACGAAGTGGCTAGCCTCAGGAGGAATGTAGAAACCATACATGCAGCTATAAATGCAGGGAAACCTGGCCGCGTCACAACCAGAGAGGCTGTTCTTCGACTTAGCAGGCTCAAGGAAAGCCACATTGCGGGAGAGGTCGCTCATCCACATCTTTCGTAAACCGAGTGGTTCAAGTTTTTCTTCCCTGGCCACCCCTTTGGAACTCGCACCATCATAGAGGAGTATCCAATCATCGCACCTGGAATTGTTGGATATGACTGTCCGGCCGATCTTCCGGAATACTGATGCTGCCGACATATGTATCTGCAGGCACTTATGCGCTGGTCATAAATCACGCTCTTCCAACAAGGCCGTTGGTTACTGATGGCAAGGTCATCAATTCCATTACAGGTGTCAACATCGACCTTGCGGCTAGTTACCACGGGTGGTTGAACCAAGGATGCATTAGAGGGTGAGCTTGGTTGAACTGAGAGCGCTCCGCCCTAAGCAGCCCGTGGGTTATTTTTAGCTGGAGATGAACATGCAGAAGTGCACTTGTTGGTGAACGGAACAATATATTTCCATCTACTTAACGTTTGTACCCCTAAATTGACCATGAGTATTGCAATTACGGCTTGGCGGCTTTTTCACACCTACCCTGTCGAAAGACCCTCGGAGTGAAATGCCTGGTAAGGTGAAAAATATATATATATAAAGTCAATGCTTGCTACTCGATGGTATTGCTATGTACAAAGGCTAAAGGCCTAATTGGGGAGAGACTTGCTAGCACTGTTGGCTCGGGTTCTTGCTCTTTTAGTTTGTTTATTTGAACCCTGAGGATCCTCGACGCTGTCATTTGGCTGTGCAAAGCTCCACGCGGCATCATGGAACTCAGCTTCATCAGACGTGGCTGATGTATCAGAGTCCTCTTGGATGACAGTTGGCTCTGAGGTTGCCTCGCGTTCAGACGTAGACAGAAGTTCGGATCGAGCTTGCCTGTGTCTCTCGTTCACAGATTTGATAAGATCGTCCCGCTGTTCTTTTGCCCAATCCCGTGCATTCCGATACGCGGATGCCCCATGCCGAAAGCCATCTGCATTCCCAACCATACTCCAAGCATTTAATTGAGTCATAATGTATTCAGGACGGCCGTCACTCTCTCGGGGAGCGGTGGGATGTGTTGTGTAGAGCTTGAGTGTACCACCATGATAAGTTGACGTTATCGTGTAGGCATTATTGTCGTTAGACGGCTCATCTTGCTTGTACGACTGAAGCTTGCGTATTCCTCGAGCGCCCAGCGCGCCATGGTAACAGGCTTTCCGAGTGGCAACAGCAAGGGATCCATCGGGACCTTTAGTCTCAAGAAAAAAGTTCGGAGCCATTGGGAGGGAGCTCTGCGTCGATGGTAGAATGAACTCGCTAAGCTTATCGCGGATTTCAGGGTCAAGTTGCTCAGGGCGAGCGCCAAAGAAGTGATCCGGTTTTGCCTTTGCCAGTGTTCCATCTGTTAGAGGAGCAAGGTTTCCGAATGGGTAGTCCCCTCCAACACATTTGGGGTCACCAATATCGCCATCAATAGTTGGCATGACAGAAGTTGCCACAGGCTTCTCTTTGGATGCGTTGGTGTCTGCTCGTTCAAATTTCTCAAACTCCCTTTCAGAAAATTTGGAGGGTGAGAGGGAGGGTCGTGGTTGGGCCAATCTTTCATTTATCTCGTCCCAATTCTTTGGCTTTGCAGGTACTCGACCATCTGGATACTCGTAGCCCTTGGGGTAAACGCCATAGTCAATCAACTTCTGCTCAAAGTTCCGGTTATAGGCGGTGGTGCTTGTAGTCTTTGTGGACTTATTGTTGCTATTGTCGCTAGCTGGAGGAGTTCCCGCGCGTCGCTTCTGGCGGCCTGAACTATTGGTGCTCATTGACTGACAACAAGGGATATGCGGATCTGGGAACTGAGGTCAGGCGTTAGTATGAGTACTAGCATGCTGCAAGAATTACATACATTCCGAAGGTCAGACAGGTCAGGTCCGCCCTGTCTGGAGAGCCTTTTGATCTTGCTCAGGCTCTCGGGCTTGTAGTTGATTAAGGGGTCGGGGGCAAGTGTCTGGTAACGACGCTTAAGACTCGCCTGCAACTGTCGAGTGAGCGGCCGGTGGGGGATAAATGTTGACTCTGGCACGCTGCCAGAAGCCCTGTTTCTTCGATCCAACTCCTCGAGAGCGTCCTTCGTTAACCAGATCTTCGACAAATTATCCCAATATGCTGAAGTGGGCTGGCCGAGATTCAGCCTTTTCGATGGAGGTCGTAGTTGGTTGAGATAGTCAGGCTTCTGTCGTTTGCGAGATGGTTCTAGGGAGACAGGGAAAGTCATATGGCACATATACTGGAGGTGTTTTGATTCCAAAACACGAAAGTGAGCGAACGGTCGTTATATATCCAAGAAGTGATTCATCGGGCGCGTAGCTTCTACCTTGAGGGATGGTGTCTGTTTCACGTTACTCCTTCTTCCAGCCTGAACAGAGGCCTCATTGGGTGTGAATCTGGTCCCATGCGCCTGTTCAGGCGTCCATGAAGATGGTGATTTGGGGGCCCTTGCCTTGGAGCCTGCATAGCCCAAGCGCCAAAGACGATGTGCGCCAAGAGCATGGGTATCGTATGTGACGGAACAATATATTTCCACACCAGCAATGGCCTGGTACGAGGGATCCTGGAAAATTGTTGCTCCTACGAGCAGACGCATTTCGTGCCTAATAACAGTCATGTGATGGCATACGTCATGGCTTAAGTTTCATATATATCAGCCCAAATCAGCCCAAATCAATCAAAATCAATCGATATCAGAATCGATCTCGGCCAGGGACAGTCATTGCAGCCGAGTATCAGTTGAGTTAAGCTTACTCCTCCGGGTAGCGTAATAGAAAACATTTACTTACAACCCCACCTTCAGACACCCATGGAAATTTCGACAACAGTGATAGTCATCCGCCCCATCTTGCATCTAATGTGTGTTGTATGACTGAAGGAAATATAAATGCCTGTCTAGCTAACTTGAAATTAATTCATTCCAGATATTGTAAGGTCACCTCTGCTAAGTTATAACGATAAACTCTAGCGGGCAAGGAGAGGAAAGAAGACGCCGGACGCTCAAAGTAATGGTCTGGAAAGAGAAAGAGCTTAGAACCAAAAAGGAGGTAGGAAAATATCCTCAATATATATCACTGAATGGGAGACACTAATAGGCTCATAGACCATCTGTGACGACAACTATGATACGGATTGGCAACCACCGGCAAATAATGTCAGAATCAAACCTCCAGAAAAAACTTCTTTTGTCGTTGTCGATATCAGAGATAACCGTGGCGCAATATTTGTCCATGAATCAGCTAGCGACGAATACGTTGGTGGAATAGGGACGGACGAACAAGGAAATGTGGTGTTAATTCCCTGGAGCCCGGACTGGCACTACTACACTATCGGCTCTTTTCGGGTTGGCTATATCGAAAGGTGATTTGGAAAAAGAGGACTTGACTTGGTTAGAACTAATGTCTGAACAAACAGCTTGCGAAAGATATTATGAGACTCCTCGCCTAAGCACGGGATTTAAAATAATGGATCCCCGGAACAATCATCAATATCTACTCCTCAATCCACCGTCATGTTGCGGGCATGCGGCTCGCCGTAGGAGTGCGCAGCCTCAGAACCCAAAAGGCAACTCAGGACGCCCTTATTTTCTATGCTCCGTATGCGATAAATTTATCTGCTTTGCAGATATGCGAGGAATCAATTTGGATAACCCTGCATGTGATTGTCCGTCGCTGAGACATAGCAGAGCGCAGGTTGCTGGCTCAGATACTCGCAGTCCCCGGGTAGTGCACTATGTCTGTGCCGTTGGGCAGTGCGATTATTTTTCATTTGCAGAAGACGTTTATGGAAACTTGGTTGTTTACAGTGGTCCTCTGCTGCCGGACTATATGGCTATAGCCGGGTTGTAATTGGCGTGACCGCGGTTAGATATTTCCTATCACGAGTCTGTCTTTAACGTTGGTATAATGGCTTTGTTGAGGGGTTGCATTAGTCCGGCAAAAGACTTGAAGCGAAGTGAAAGGACGTGTAGAGTTCTGCCGATATAACTCCTCAAAATCCAGGACTCATACAAGTTATATAGTATGTTCTCCAGCTAGTTAGCTAACTCCATGAGTTGGTACCGTCATACATAGGCCATTTTAGGGGTGTCTGGACCATTACTCTGGCCAAATGGACGTCGTACATATGGCACTTAGCTACACCGCGTTCCTGAAATCAGGCCTAAGCCTGAATTTTCCTGGTCAGATAATGCAGGATTATTGGCACTGATGTCTGTACCACTATCATATATTATATAATGTGGAGGGGCCTTGGGTGTATAGATATATCGTGGCTCCACCCGAGTCTTCTGTCTGGCTGGTCCTGTGACTTGTAAAATAGTAGGGTCACCGTAGCAAGGCAAGGTCTAAAGACGTATAAGTCATATATTAAGAACGTAGAGAAAACTCGCAAGTCGTACCTAAGTTAGCATGGCCACAGCTTTATAGGAATCATATCCTTGGGTGTTATGTGATATAAATGAAAACTTCAAATGAACGTGTAACGAGATAATTGGCCCAATGGAAATACGTTTCTTAATAGGACATTATGAGAAATCAAGGAATATCAATGTCGTGTGCGACTGACTTGGAGGCGATGTGTTTGTCCGCAGCTATACAGCATGTGGCATATCACATGGTAACAGAAACACCCGGGCCACGAAGGCAAGCGAACCTAAATGTTTAATGAGAACAATTGGATATCGATGACCTAAGATATGGAACATTATTGTTCCGGCAGTATCATTCATCACAAAATTCAGGTAACTAGTTAACGTAATCCACATGCGAGCGAGCCACCCAACCGAGCGAGCCACCAAATCCAAACACGTACACTTTTTAACTAATTAACACCTTCTATACGCGATAATGCCACCAATTCGCAATAAAAATAAAAGAAACTCTATAGAAATAGAGGGAAAGATTGAGCTTGCAATTATTGCTTTAAAAAATAAGGAAATTACCTCTATTCGTGAAGCTGCACGTTAATTTAATATACCAAGATCTACACTTACACATCGAATCAACGGCCGCCCTTCACGTACGGATTTACGCGCAAACTCACATATATTAACAAATACTGAAGAGGAAATACTTGTTTAATGGGTTCTTGATCTAGATAAACGAGGATTACCACCCCGGCCTGCCTTTGTTGAGAATATGGCTAACCATCTTCTTTCCGTACGAACTTCTATATCATCACCTCTGCGAGTTGGCAAAAACTGGGTCTCAAATCTAGTGAAGCGCCGTACAGAGCTTCAAAGTCAATACTCAAGGCGTTATAACTATGAACGGGCTAAATGTGAAGATATTAAGGTTATTCAAGAGTGGTTTAATTAACTAAACACTACCTTTACTACGTACGGAATTCAACAAGAAGATATCTACAACTTTGATGAGACTGGATTTGCAATGGGACTCTGTGCAACTACAAAAGTTATTTCTAGTTCTGAGAAATATGGCCGTATAAAGCTCCTATAGCCTGGAAATCGAGAATGGGTTACAGTTATTGAATCAGTGAACGCGTCTGGTTGGGATCTACCTCCGTACATTATTCTTAAAGGCCAGAATACTCAGGAAGGATGGTACGATGGGCTTCCAAATGGCTGGAGACTTGATACCAGTCCTAATGGCTGGACAACAGATGAGATTGGGCTTAAATGGCTTACAAAGATATTCATTCCAGCTATGAATGTACGAAAAAGAGGCAGTCATTCCTTACTTATATTAGATGGTCATGGAAGCCATCTTACACCCGAATTCGATCGACTCTGTACAGAGAATAATATTATTCCTCTCTGTATGCCTCCTCATTCCTCACACCTCTTACAGCCTTTGGATGTAAGCGTTTTTGCCATCCTAAAGCGAGCGTACGGAGGTTTGGTCGAACAACGAATGCGACTTGGATTCAATACTATTAAGAAGCTTGATTTCTTAAATGCGTACCCTATAGCAAGGGTAGAGGCTTTTAAGCCTAAGAATATTCAAAATAGCTTTGCTGCAACTGGAATTAGTCCATTTAATCCAGATAGAGTGGTCCAAAAGCTCAATATTCAACTTCGTACACCTACCCCCCCAGGAAGCCGATCAAGCAACTCTCAGTCATCTTGGGGTCTACAAACACCTAGTAACCCTCGCCAGTTATACAGACAAGCAAATAAGGTTAAGAACCTTTTTGGACAAGACCGTACGGAACCCTCTGAGCAATTTAAGGAAGGCTTTGATCAAATTATTAAGGCCTGTGAGTACAGGATGGTTACTGCAACAATAATAAAGAAGCAATATCAGGATATATTTGCTGCAAATGAAAAGGAGAAGCAAAAACGTACAAGATCCAGCCGCAGAATTCAACAACCAGGGGGTCTTACAAGAAAAGAAGCTCAAAGCCTTGTTACTCCCCCTGATTTACCTACCGAACGTACGATCAATCAGCCTACTGAAACCGAACCACCAGCCTTACAACCACAATTACGAGCTCAACCACGATGTAGTAATTGTAATATTCTCGGACATAGAAGAACAAGATGTCCTAATCCTAGTATTATTTAATTTTTAATTTAATAATTTTTTTTCGGTATTAATTATTATATAAAAAGTTGACCAATCTATATATTTTGAATTTGGTGGCTCGCTCGGTTGGGTGGCTCGCTCGCATGTGGATTACGTTAGCCACGTGCTTATTGTTTAGTCATCTTTTCTTTTGCCTCTTTAAAGGCACAGCGACCCCGCCTCTGGTAGGATGACTCAAACGTCTTCCGTTTAACACGCCCATCACCCAAGTCCCTGAAACGTGGGTTAATTCCGCCAGATCAATATCATTCTCCATTCTAACGCTTCGTATTGCTAGCTAGTTTGGGAGCCGCACCTCCTCATTGCCACCAATTTGTCACTAGACAACCAAAGCCTGCGAAATGCACGATGGGAAATCTCAACTTCTCATAATTATGGCCGTAGTTTCAGCTGCCGCCGAGGAATCTACCGATGTTGGCAGATTTGAGCTACTCAGAGATGCTTTAGCGTTGCTGCGTGAGATATTATCGTCGGATTCCGATGAATCGTCCTCCGTACTTGCTCCGTTTTATATGCTCCAATTCCAACTTTACGAAGCTTTTGCTCCGGAGGTATTAGGCCATAAAGCCTCGGGAGCAGAATGCTCGTTGGTAATGGGATATAGCCCACAGAAATTTCAAGAAGTGCTCCTGGAATTAACTTATTCGCTAAGCGCTTTCAGTGCTATACAACAGTATGT